GAGATCAGGATCAGCATTGTCAAGGAAGTGTCCATGGATATTTGGGCATAGCTTCAGTGTCGTCTTCAAGGATATCCGTGATTTACCAGTCGCCGTGTTCTAGCCCTCCAGCTCTTCAACGAAGATATATATTAGGAGCTTACCTACAAGAACTCATAAGTTAGCTATTAATAATAATACTGCCATTACCTTATACCTGAAACATCAATAATAAATGAATTTAGTTTTTCGTACATAAAATGATTATTATAAGTTAGCATAAGATTAAGGTAAGATCTTTCTAAATATAAGCACATAGCATGTATTTTATCTTAAAAGTACAATCTTTATTTATTTATAATAAACATTGTTTTAAATAAAAAATAATCTTATATCATAACAAAAATTCGTTTTTCAATGGGATTGTGTTTTAGGGTGCCACTCGATTGGAAATTTTATAACGAATTCAGTGAGGTATGGCATTCCAAGATCTGATAATTATTTCCCAGGGTTTTAATAAAAAAACCGAAATAAAAGTGGGGTTTTCCGGATCTCCGGATTTTGGCATTTTTGATAAGGGGTTACATCATCCATATTTGCCAAAAATCGACTGATTTGAAATTTTTTAGCTGTGAATGCCACTCGATTGGAAATTTTATAACGAATTCAGTGAGGTATGGCATTCCAAGGTCTGATAATTATTTCCCAGGGTTTTAATAAAAAAACCGAAATAAAAGTGGGGTTTTCCGGATCTCCGGATTTTGGCATTTTTGATAAGGGGTTACATCATCCATATTTGCGAAAAATCGACTGATTTGAAATTTTTTAGCTGTGAATGCCACTCGATTGGAAATTTTATAACGAATTCAGTGAGGTATGGCATTCCAAGATCTGATAATTATTTCCCAGGGTTTTAATAAAAAAACCGAAATAAAAGTGGGGTTTTCCGGATCTCCGGATTTTGGCATTTTTGATAAGGGGTTACATCATCCATATTTGCCAAAAATCGACTGATTTGAAATTTTTAGCTGTGAATGCCACTCGATAGGAAATTTTATAACCAATTCAATGAGGTATGGCATTCCAAGATCTGATAATTATTTCCCAGGGTTTTAATAAAAAAACCGAAATAAAAGTGGGGTTTTCCGGATCTCCGGATTTTGGCATTTTTGATAAGGGGTTACATCATCCATATTTGCGAAAAATCGACTGATTTGAAATTTTTTAGCTGTGAATGCCACTCGATTGGAAATTTTATAACGAATTCAGTGAGGTATGGCATTCCAAGATCTGATAATTATTTCCCAGGGTTTTAATAAAAAAACCGAAATAAAAGTGGGGTTTTCCGGATCTCCGGATTTTGGCATTTTTGATAAGGGGTTACATCATCCATATTTGCCAAAAATCGACTGATTTGAAATTTTTTAGCTGTGAATGCCACCCGATTGGAAATTTTATAACGAATTCAGTGAGGTATGGCATTCCAAGATCTGATAATTATTTCCCAGGGTTTTAATAAAAAAACCGAAATAAAAGTGGGGTTTTCCGGATCTCCGGATTTTGGCATTTTTGATAAGGGGTTACATCATCCATATTTGCCAAAAATCGACTGATTTGAAATTTTTAGCTGTGAATGCCACTCGATTGGAAATTTTATAACGAATTCAGTGAGGTATGGCATTCCAAGGTCTGATAATTATTTCCCAGGGTTTTAATAAAAAAACCGAAATAAAAGTGGGGTTTTCCGGATCTCCGGATTTTGGCATTTTTGATAAGGGGTTACATCATCCATATTTGCGAAAAATCGACTGATTTGAAATTTTTTAGCTGTGAATGCCACTCGATTGGAAATTTTATAACGAATTCAGTGAGGTATGGCATTCCAAGATCTGATAATTATTTCCCAGGGTTTTAATAAAAAAACCGAAATAAAAGTGGGGTTTTCCGGATCTCCGGATTTTGGCATTTTTGATAAGGGGTTACATCATCCATATTTGCCAAAAATCGACTGATTTGAAATTTTTTAGCTGTGAATGCCACTCGATAGGAAATTTTATAACCAATTCAATGAGGTATGGCATTCCAAGATCTGATAATTATTTCACAGGGTTTTAATAAAAAAACCGAAATAAAAGTGGGGTTTTCCGGATCTCCGGATTTTGGCATTTTTGATAAGGGGTTACATCATCCATATTTGCCAAAAATCGACTGATTTGAAATTTTTTAGCTGTGAATGCCACTCGATTGGAAATTTTATAACGAATTCAGTGAGGTATGGCATTCCAAGATCTGATAATTATTTCCCAGGGTTTTAATAAAAAAACCGAAATAAAAGTGGGGTTTTCCGGATCTCCGGATTTTGGCATTTTTGATAAGGGGTTACATCATCCATATTTGCGAAAAATCGACTGATTTGAAATTTTTAGCTGTGAATGCCACTCGATTGGAAATTTTATAACGAATTCAGTGAGGTATGGCATTCCAAGATCTGATAATTATTTCCCAGGGTTTTAATAAAAAAACCGAAATAAAAGTGGGGTTTTCCGGATCTCCGGATTTTGGCATTTTTGATAAGGGGTTACATCATCCATATTTGCCAAAAATCGACTGATTTGAAATTTTTAGCTGTGAATGCCACCCGATTGGAAATTTTATAACGAATTCAGTGAGGTATGGCATTCCAAGATCTGATAATTATTTCCCAGGGTTTTAATAAAAAAACCGAAATAAAAGTCGGGTTTTCCGGATCTCCGGATTTTGGCATTTTTGATAAGGGGTTACATCATCCATATTTGCGAAAAATCGACTGATTTGAAATTTTTAGCTGTGAATGCCACCCGATTGGAAATTTTAAACCGAATTCAGTGAGGTATGACATTCCAACATCTGATAATTATTTCCCAGGGTTTTAATAAAAAAACCGAAATAAAAGTGGGGTTTTCCGGATCTCCGGATTTTTGCATTTTTGATAAGGGGTTACATCATCCATATTTGCCAAAAATCGACTGATTTGAAATTTTTTAGCTGTGAATGCCACTCGATAGGAAATTTTATAACCAATTCAATGAGGTATGGCATTCCAAGATCTGATAATTATTTCCCAGGGTTTTAATAAAAAAACCGAAATAAAAGTGGGGTTTTCCGGATCTCCGGATTTTGGCATTTTTGATAAGGGGTTACATCATCCATATTTGCCAAAAATCGACTGATTTGAAATTTTTTAGCTGTGAATGCCACTCGATTGGAAATTTTATAACGAATTCAGTGAGGTATGGCATTCCAAGATCTGATAATTATTTCCCAGGGTTTTAATAAAAAAACCGAAATAAAAGTGGGGTTTTCCGGATCTCCGGATTTTGGCATTTTTGATAAGGGGTTACATCATCCATATTTGCCAAAAATCGACTGATTTGAAATTTTTTAGCTGTGAATGCCACTCGATTGGAAATTTTATAACGAATTCAGTGAGGTATGGCATTCCAAGATCTGATAATTATTTCCCAGGGTTTTAATAAAAAAACCGAAATAAAAGTGGGGTTTTCCGGATCTCCGGATTTTGGCATTTTTGATAAGGGGTTACATCATCCATATTTGCCAAAAATCGACTGATTTGAAATTTTTTAGCTGTGAATGCCACTCGATTGGAAATTTTATAACGAATTCAGTGAGGTATGGCATTCCAAGATCTGATAATTATTTCCCAGGGTTTTGATCAAAAAACCGAAATAAAAGTGGGGTTTTCCGGATCTCCGGATTTTGGCATTTTTGATAAGGGGTTACATCATCCATATTTGCCAAAAATCGACTGATTTGAAATTTTTTAGCTGTGAATGCCACCCGATTGGAAATTTTATAACGAATTCAGTGAGGTATGGCATTCCAAGATCTGATAATTATTTCCCAGGGTTTTAATAAAAAAACCGAAATAAAAGTCGGGTTTTCCGGATCTCCGGATTTTGGCATTTTTGATAAGGGGTTACATCATCCATATTTGCGAAAAATCGACTGATTTGAAATTTTTTAGCTGTGAATGCCACCCGATTGGAAATTTTATAACGAATTCAGTGAGGTATGGCATTCCAAGATCTGATAATTATTTCCCAGGGTTTTAATAAAAAAACCGAAATAAAAGTGGGGTTTTCCGGATCTCCGGATTTTGGCATTTTTGATAAGGGGTTACATCATCCATATTTGCCAAAAATCGACTGATTTGAAATTTTTTAGCTGTGAATGCCACTCGATTGGAAATTTTATAACATCCAACATCTGATAATTATTTCACAGGGTTTTAATAAAAAAACCGAAATAAAAGTGGGGTTTTCCGGATCTCCGGATTTTGGCATTTTTGATAAGGGGTTACATCATCCATATTTGCCAAAAATCGACTGATTTGAAATTTTTAGCTGTGAATGCCACTCGATTGGAAATTTTATAACGAATTCAGTGAGGTATGGCATTCCAAGATCTGATAATTATTTCCCAGGGTTTTAATAAAAAAACCGAAATAAAAGTGGGGTTTTCCGGATCTCCGGATTTTGGCATTTTTGATAAGGGGTTACATCATCCATATTTGCCAAAAATCGACTGATTTGAAATTTTTTAGCTGTGAATGCCACTCGATTGGAAATTTTATAACGAATTCAGTGAGGTATGGCATTCCAAGATCTGATAATTATTTCCCAGGGTTTTGATCAAAAAACCGAAATAAAAGTGGGTTTTTCCGGATCTCCGGATTTTGGCATTTTTGATAAGGGGTTACATCATCCATATTTGCCAAAAATCGACTGATTTGAAATTTTTTAGCTGTGAATCCCACCCGATTGGAAATTTTATAACGAATTCAGTGAGCTATGGCATTCCAAGATCTCATAATTATTTCCCAGGGTTTTGATCAAAAAACCGAATTAGAAATTGATTTTTCCGGATCTCCGGATTTTGGCATTTTTCATAAGTGCACCCGCAATTTTAACTGATCCTTAGATGACATTTACCCGGTTGATCAAATTATAAATTAATGTGTATCGTGTTGCAATAGTTTTTTATTTGAGGCTTTTGACAATTACGGTTCCATTTACACATTGGCGTTCTGCTTGATCCAGGACCTCAGGGCTCCCACATAGGTGTACATGGCCGGGCGTCCCTTGGCCCCACAACCGAATCCCCAGGACACCACTCCGAACAGCTTGCCATCGACGGTCAGAGGTCCGCCGGAGTCACCCTGGCAGGAGCTCACCTGGCCACTGGGATGTCCAGCACACACCATGCGATCCGTAAGGCCGGGAATGTTCTGGGAGTTGCAGTAATCGCGACTCCACAGTTGCACCTGGGCGAACTTAAGGCGGTTGGGCAGCTGCAGGTTCTGGTTGATGGCGCCGAAGCCACTGATCATTGCCATCGTGTCCGCCGCGTAATTGGAGTCCGAGTCCGCCATTTCGATGGTCCTCACTGCTCCGCCCAGGGGAACCGGGCTGCTCAGCCTAATCAGCGACATGTCGAAGTCCTGGCTCTGCGGATTGTACTGCGGATGGATGATGAACTGGGCGATGTTGAAGGTCTGCCCGTTACCAGCCGCCAGATCGTTGGTTCCCACAATGGCCTTCATCTGGCCTGGACTCTGGCCCCTGGTGCAGTGGGCGGCTGTCACGATCACCGTGTCGGAGATCAGGGAGCCGCCGCAGTGGTGGCGACCATTCAGCTGGAGGGACACCTGATGCGGAAACTGGCCAGGAGCAGCGAACTGGCCCCCTATTATCCGGGACTCCTCCGCCACATCCATCTCGCCGGGAACCAAGGCCGCAGCGAGGAGCAGGATCAGGGGCTTTACCAGATTGTTAACCGAAGACATGGCAAGGGTTGAGTGTGTTGAATGGAGTTCCGCTGTTCTCTATTTATAGGTCTGGTATGGTGTTACGTTCGAGTGGTTTTATCACCAGAGTGGCACACTTTCATGTAGGAAGAACTCCGATAAGTGGGGAACTTTGTGGGGGGTCATGTTCCTTACTTTATTAATTTTTGTAAATCCAAATATATTATATGGGACTTGTGTACATGTACGACTTATTTTTTGAATATAAATAGTTAGTTTAGTTAGTTTTAGATTCTAATATTCCCTCTTAGACTTGCAACCTTCTTTGGCCATTATCTTAATTACCGTCCCAGTTAAAGGTATTTTCTTTTCAAATTACCCCGTCAAATGCCAATTTCTATCTAGGCCAGAACAGCAGGGGCTCGGCTAGGCACAGTTTATGTGCGAAATTTAAATTTTCGCCACATAAAAATCAAGTTCAAATAAAACATGATTGCTGTGGCCTTTTTTACGAATATGTAATGCCCTCCGAGCTTTTTTGAACCTTTGAAGACTCAGTGAGACGAAGACTTTGCTGATTTTGAGCCAGTCTGATATCCATTGCTGATTATCCACACGTTCTTCCAGATCTCGTGCTTGAAGATGTTTCGATAGTTCTGCACGGACACCAAAAACTCGGGGCCAAACAGGGTTTGGATTAAAACATTTTCGGCGGCTAGATTTCGATTCGTGGTTCCGTGTACAATCACAAGGGGGGAATTGCTCTGGGGATATAATTAAGAAAAGGTTAATAATTGTAAGTCTAATCTAATTAAAACGTATACTTACAGGTATATCTTCCCCCTCGCTTTCGAAACGCTGCTTTGGATCAACGTGTCGGCAGAACCAGTTTGTATACGCCAGGGGTAAATCGTTGTCCGGACAGGCAAATCTCTGAAGGGAGTTAATAATAAAATATTTCATATTTAAATGTACATTGTGTTTTAATGGTATGGAACATTAGATAAATTCAACACTCACACTGCGATGCACCAGTCCCAAGTTGAGGTTGAGCTCCCCGTTTTTGTGGGACAAATAGGTGGCGTTGACGCCCTGCTGCAGGTTGCACTGCTTGGGCCCACTGTACAGTACGATGGGGTCGTGGTCGGAGGCCATGCACTGCAGCTGGAACCGCTGCCCGTACTTGATGTTCTCCCCAGTGCGATCGCGGCCGTCTCCGCTGACAATCATGAAGGAGTTTCGCACACAGGGTCGCTTCGAAGGAGCCACCGAAAGCTCGCAGTGCTCGTTAATCGACTGGCTCCTCCGCACCACCTTCTCGTTGATAACCACCGACAAGGCAGCATTCAGGTCGGATGTGTCCATGTCGCTGATGTTCATATAGATGGGCATCAGCTGCACTATGGCCCCGAAAATAATGGTCTGCTTGGGGGCGGCCAAAACGACCTCCTTGTGGAAGTTGTCATACAAAGTGCGGGCCTTTTCCACCAGGAGCTCGCCCCGATCGCGTTGCTTCTTGAAGTTTACTATTTTGTCCTAGAAACAAAGCGTACCAATATTGCTTATTCTTTCTATTATCTATGGCTATTATACTCTACCTCCTCTAGGCAATTTTCTTCCACCCAATTTCCAATTCTTACACTAGGCTGAAAACGAGCCGAAATATAATCTGTGTCGCCAACTCTGCAGGGCATTTTGTTGTGCTCAAAAAATTGATTTTTAAGTGAAACTCAAGAAATAAATTCTAGTTTCTAAGTGTAGTGTTTAAATATGAAAATAATTCTGATTAGTGTGGAAATGTAAGAAACCCAAATGGTTACTAGATTAAAAATGGTTGCTTATTTCTACAATCAAAAAACATGATTTAATGGGCACCTTAGTTCCCATTATTTCACCACATTTCGAAACCATAATCTACTTTCGGGCTTCCATGGCAAAAATAACCAGCTCTTGTTGCTGTGTTGCTCAAAGCAGACAGGGCGTATGAGTAATGGCAGACCCAATATTTTGCACTGGCACACATTTCCGAGCACTAAGCTATCTATTTGCCGCTCTCGGACTACTCAAACAGCGATGATTGGCTCTGTTTGCTGTAATCCAAGTCCGCTGAGTCCATTAGTGTCTCATTCTTTGAGTCTCAGAGACGAGACTCTTGCAGAAGACAGAAGTGTCTGCTGCCCCCCGTGATCACTACAAACTTACCGGCAAATATCGGCGACAAGATAAGCCATTTAGCACATCGCCCGCTCTTAATTGTGCTTGTTATTCATTATCGCCGATGGCGGTGGGTTGTTGTGGTCTTAGCTGTCGCTGATTTACCTGCCGGTAATGGTGGGTAAATGTACCTGGCCGGATGGATCGGCGTGCACATCACGTGAACGTGAACGAGCAGCTCGGCCGATTTGCGGCACGTTCCTTATCTGGCCACTCGATTGCAATGGCGGCTATATGCGAGATATATTGTCGCCGGGGCTCCAAGTTTTATGACTGTATTTACCTCCTCTCCAGGGCGCGCCTACCAATCGAGATATTAGATGTTCGGCTCGACACTGATTTATTTGTGTTTTTTGCACTACAAATTATTATATATCACGTTTGCACGATGATATTGCTCAAATAGAAAAAACAATAAAGTGCTTAAATATTAATAAGCAAGCACTTGGGAATGTCTCTTTCTTGAAGTCAACCGAATCGCCCATAGTTGGAGCCAAAGTATCTGACACTGCTCACTTCGTAGGATGGCACTTCCACCTGACTCACCCTGCAATCCCTCCTCAAAATGCATCGCGATCTGCTTTCATCGATTACGTAATGTATTCGGCAGACGCAGGGACCTCCGCAATTTCTGGGAGGACATCCGAGGGACTTGTACTGGCAGGTTTCCTGGCATCGGGAGGAGCAGTACGACCTGGTGGCGTTTCGACCACATTCCAGGGACTGGGGGTATGGTGTTGGGGGTGTTGAATACCCCACACTCGTTCCAAAATGTAATATTGTTAGTAACAGAAGTATCGGCAACGGCATAATCGAAACTCTGATAGTTGAAAAATGACACTAATTGGTAGCGCAATGGAAAGTGGAACAGATTTAGTTACTAATCTAGTTAAGTTATTCACAACTAGTTTCAGCTGCAGCGTTCCGCCTGACGAATAGAGATTATAAGTATTTGTACTTCAGTGATATTAAACTAGTTATCTAAAACAGTCATGCAAGTTAATATGCCTGCGAGATGCAAAATGAATTTGTTACAATAATAAAAGTTAAAATAACACATTGTTCCTTTCACTCTAAAAATAAAAACCCGTAAATAATCCGATTAATATCATATTTTAAACACTCTAGCACAGCAAGTACTATCAGATTTAGCAATCAAAAATATATAAGTGGGAAAAATAAATAACTCTTCTTATCTTTTATAATAATTTGTGACTTAAATGTCCGATATTTTTCTTTCAGAGAAAATTAAAAATGTTCAGCTTATATTTGTGATTAACTTATTATTCGTAATTAACTTTCTAATGGTGTCATCGGTGTTCCTTGATTTCCAATCTGTTTAACAGAGTGACTCACCATTGAAAGAGTTCGTTCAATGGAAAATCACTTAGTCAACGATAATGTCGAATATACCTATAGCGTTGTCTAATTGCTTGCAGGCCTCATAACGACATTGTTATCTTGGAAAAAAGATGGAAATCCGAAGTCGCATTAATTGCTTCAAACGACAGGCCCCAAAAAGCCTGGCAGATCAAATGTGGCGCTGAAATATCTTCGTCGATCCCCCAATTACGTCACTAACACCCGCTCTGTTCTATCTGGAGATTCGAAATACAATTAATCACGAGATAATGCGGGCACTAAGGACTGAAACGGATCGGCCAAATATGATTTGGCATGGGCAATTGAATCGCACTCAAACCTGTCATACTTATAGCCCCGATGATAAGAGATCTCTAAAAGGTTATACCGAGTCGCTTGTGCGACTAATCCGCTAACCACAATCCAAAGTCATGTGACTACGTTTTTCCCGGTTTAGGTTGATCGCCTATTCATGGGGCTATATGGTATTATAAAAATTAAATTCCAAACCCGACTACTGCTGGTCAAGATTGTGTTTTACGACTCTTTATTGAGCAAAATCAGTTGATATTTGATATTGGCCACTGGGAAACAGAACTGGCCTCAGTCTTATCGCTCACCATTCTTGGTTTTATACGCATAGCTGCGCTGATGGAAAAATTCAGCTGTATTATAAAGTATAAGAAATAATCTTTTATTCTTCAATTAATAATTTAAAATTGCAACTGTTTTTTTAAGTATAAGGAAATCTTGTTCTAGTAATTAGCAAACTAATATTTTATTCTTCAAGTAAGAGTTTCATATTTAGTTGTTTATTTCAAATATTAATTTTAATTAAAAAACCACTTTCTCTGTTTGAATTATAATACCTAGTAAAGTGCGTCTGTTGGTACGGGAGAGTGGCACCAGTTGTTGGCGTGTGTTTAAACAAGACTAAATTGTTATAGCCGTTTCTTAGCTCGATAGGATGTATTATATTTCCTGTGCCAACAACTTTTTCTTTTCTTGACGTCAATTCTGAAGCTCTAAAATAGCGCGGATTGTAAATCTCCTATGGGCCTTGTCAATTTGTCAATATCGTAAAAGCATGAGTCTCTCATGCAGGCCAGAGATTAATTTAATAATTCGCCAGAAAGTGATGGTGTGCGCACGTGAGCGGCACACGATTTGTGGGAGTGAGTGTACCGTACCCCTCACACTTACTGGTATATTCTCTGTGGAGACCGCGAGGCGACTGCAGTCACTCTCCCCAACCGGTTGCTCGAAAACCGATTGACAGGGTCAGCCGATGTGGGAGTGGGATCCTCAAAGGCAGCTCCATTATACACCATACAACATATACCATTTACCAGTGGTTTACAACGCAGCCTTATTATCACAATGGGCCATTATCACTCGGCGGACAGGTATTTATCAGGCAACCGAAGCTCGGCCCGTGAATCAAGTTGAGCGCTTCGTGTTTCCTAACGGCGACGCCGCTGCCTCGGCGACTTCTCTGCTCGGCGGGTAAAACAGAAACAGAATTATAAAAACGTTCAATTAGCCGAGGTAGTAAGTCATTACAGTGGCAACGCTCGTGGCGAAAAGAGCGAGTGAAAAGGCCCGAAAAGAAAGTTTTCCAGCGGTTGTGCGTGGAAATTTCGTGGAACGACTAAGTCCGGCGACAGCCCAATAATGTGAGTGGTAAATCTAGAATCTAAGTTGATGAAATTCCGCTGTGCTGTCAGTTTCCCCATCGCCCCTTTGTTTTTGTCCGCAAATTCGCTGGGATCCAGTTAATTTTGAAGGCACTGCAAAAAAAAGTGTAAGAACCTTATTAAAAACAGCTGATGCATATTTTTGAAAAGTTGTTTTTCTGTGCGTTTGCGCGTGTGTTTGTGCTCGGCGTGAGGTGAGTGAGTTTCTGATTAAAACCACCAGCCAATAAAATCCACAAAAATTTAAAAATATGTTCAAGCCACTGGCTGGCAAAAAATTTAACAAAGGAAAAAAACAAGTCGAGTAGGCAGAACAAAAGTGCTGCTTTTTATTGTCAAGGAACTCGAATTAAGTGCATGATTAACGATCGCAAATGATGCATTATTTTGTGCAAACATACCATTCACTTCCACCCAGACAAGTGCTTAGGCTTTGGGCTTGTGAGATAACCTAGCCCTACTTACTTTCGATTCGAATCCCGATTCGATAGCCAGCTCAAGTGCGAAAATGCGCGCCGATAAGCAGATAAGACCCCTTGAAGCCCCCAAGTCCACTGATCCAAACAGTTTCCCACTGCTCGAGAGCAGCGAAAACAATGTTAAGAGTCTGATAATAACTGACGCACTGCGAAAAATAAATATAACACAAAAAGTGCGTTCGTTTTCATGAGTTCTCTATATCTAAAACTGATTATTCCACATTTTCAGTTGCATTCAGTGAGCAAAAGATTAACTCCTTTGTTTCATTATGAAATATGAAAAGAATTAAAAATAAATACCAGTTCTTCTTTAAACATGTTTTTATTAAAATTCGTGAACATACTCAAGACTCACTTCAGAACACAAGTTCAAGAATACATATCCCAACATTAGATAGCACATTTTCCCCAAGTGTACAGCCACTCGGCCGAATCGAATGGGAATGTGAGTTGAGGTTGAGTCTCGGGCCTGAACTTGAACTTGAAAAGCTGAATGCAAACACTCGCAGCCAGTGAAAATGAAAATTGTTATGGAACTGGAAATGGTGTGGAAATGTTGGCAACAATTGGAACAAATAGCGAATAGCATTAAAATAAATTAATAGGAGCCCATTCGCATTAAAATGCCAATCTACGGTCGTTGAACGGTCTTAACTGGTGGAAAAAGCCACTGCCTTGTCACGGATCCGTCGTATAAGCGACGAAGGCTGGTTTATGGACCAGCGATATGGCCCAATTATGGCTTAATTATCGCAATCTGAAACCAGACGTCTTGGGTTCCTTCATGGCCGCATCCCAGTCAGCCGAATAATGGGTGAATGAAGTGTAATTCGCACGTGTTTTGGGCCGAGAGGAAGTATCTCGTTTCAGGTCCGGAGTTCGCATTGCCGTGCAATCTATGAGAGGTCCCCACTCTTAGATAAGCGAATTTGATTTACTGCCACAGTCACCTCTCATGGCAACCCATTATTCGGTGGGTTCCAGCTCACTTGGAGAAGAAAGCTATCGACAATCTGTCAATAAATCCGTCTGACTGGGAATTTATTGGCAATAAGAGTGGCAAGAGCTATTCTATTGGCCAAATCGATATTTGGCAGCTCCCCTCTGGCCCACTTCACTTACCAAAATTACCGACACTTCTGGTAGCGCCCCGGCGTACTTTTCAATCCGATTAAGAGGCGTTAGCGATAGCGATTAGATTCATAAATTTTTGTGGGCTCCTCCACTGCATTAAATATGGCTTTGTGGCCACCCATAAATATTGGGCTTTTATTAATATTTACTAATGCACTTTTAATGCCGGCCAAATGTAGTTATAAACTACAGACAACTGACAGTTACGACACAATGAACAATTAGCCATAAAAATTGCAATTTAAATTGATTACGTTATTTATAGGGTTTTTGCTGGAGATCCCTAGGCCCTTGGGGGACTTTATTCTATCTATCTATCTATTTATGCATGAGCTGCAGTAAATTAGCAATTGCCGCCTTGAATTTATTTTAACCTGTCGTGACTTGTATAATACCAGGGCAGTAAACGCCAGTGAGATCAGTGCCAGGAGTAAGGCATCCATCGCTTTCGACTGCTGCCAGCGATCTGCGGTCGTTTAGCGGCTGAAAATGCCAAATCATTCCGCCTAAGTTTGATAGCCCAAATGTTTACTCAAATGTCGGATTGCTAATTGCTTAAATTGATCAATATTTGTGACAGAAATAAGGCAAAGGAAACTGGAGATTTGCGCTACCTCACAGAGCGATCTTATTAAGTAATCACAGAGATCACATTTCTATTTCTGATCACTGGCTAATGAAAAGATAAGATAATCAAACTCCTTATGATTTCTGCAGAACAGCGGGTAATTGGTTACTCAATAAATGCATTCATTAATCATTCATTAAGGCAATCGCTAAGTCTGATAAGAGTAAACGAAAGCAAGTAGAACTGCAAATGAGATATGCTTATGCCATGCCATTGTATTTAAATAAAATAAACTAAGGCATTATATTATATAAGCTAATCTTTCCAGCTATCTTATGGAGATTTTTTTTAGAATTTCTAGTGTAATTAGTGGGGTGCCCGCTTGACATGTTTGTAGTCTAGTTTTTGTTTGCCAGACTTCGGCATTCAAAGCAGCCCAATTAAGGCATTGTGTGGGCTCAATTTCTAAGAAATCTGCGCAAACAAATTGACGCAGGGAGAGCAGGTTGCTCAGACGGCTTACGAAACTTTCCAAAAACGTTTTTTTGGGCTGCTTGACGTGCAAACAATTCGACAACAATTTAAATGCGGCTCACACAGAAACTCAAGTGCGCAACTGTGTTATTGTTATATTGAATTCGGCTCTTTATATTTAAATACATGTAGAATCAAAGCGCTGTTATAATCAATTTACCTGGAAATTTGCTTGCAAAACCGCGTAACCAGTTTCGTGAAAAGGGACGCATTGTTTTGATATTCGGTAGTATGCTGAAAACCGAAATAAACGTACAAATTATAAACACATTACATCATCGGGAGCCGAAATTGTCAATATGTGAGTGGAGAGGCTCCGAACGAGATAAGTAGAGCTGTAAGGTTGATTACATTGCGAGTGTGCGATATAAATGCAAATATTAAGCTAGCCTTGCAGTGCCACCACATTAAAGAGCAGCCAAGGTCTCCGCACAGAACTGGCTAAGAAATCGGGGCCCAAACTGTACCCCCGATCGATCGGGCAACGGATATACTTGAATATATAAAAATGGTCAAATCACCGTATTAAATATTTGATCGCCGGTCGCTGTTAACTGGGAAAACGTGCGTAGGGAGACAAACTCGTGAGATCTCGAAATCAAATGCCAATCTCGGCGGGATGACGGTGGACATTTCGCATTCGGCGACACTTAGCGTTTGCCTAACCAATTGAAGCCGATAGCCTGCTAAATTTATCAAACTAATTTGTTTACCGCTCTCGCTTTCAGATTAACAACTTGATCTGCCGATCTGCCGATCTGTGCGATCCGCCGACCAGAAAAGCGGGGAAACTGCTGGAGAAGTGAAGGGACGCCATCCGTATCCCCGAAGAGCGAGTGTCAACAAGCTGGCGAAACGGCGAATAACTCGTGCAAACAGCAGACGTCTGACTGCGATTGGGACCCAGACCCAGAGCGAACCTGAATCGGGGCTTATTTAAAGCCCGCTACCCGCTGTCTGTCAATCAGAACAATTCAAGCTGCCGACGGCAGCAGATCGCGAGTGAAGAAACCAGAAGAAATCAGAAGAATTCCGAAGAAAGCTCCAGGCAGAAGATAATTGTGCAGGCAGTAATACCTATCGTACCGGTGGGGCAAATGCCCCGACACCTTGCACACAAAAGTTAAACTGCAAATACTTGCATTCCGTATCAATAACAATAACACCCCCGTCGAAGTTTGCCTTCTGCATTGTGAGCAGTATTGTGATATTTGAACGCGCCACCTGCACCGTCGCAATCAATTTGCTTTAACACTTTGTGTTTAAGCCAAACAAAGCCATCAGGTCTGATTAAACAAGTAGCAAGATGTCCGCGTCAAAGGAGGCCATTTGTGCCAGCACCGAGAAGGATCTGGAGAAGCCAGCACTGGGTGAGTTTCCTTGACTCGGGTATATAGTAGTCCATATTACAGAAGGGAGCGTGCCAAAGTATCACAGTAAAATGGTGTAATGTTTACTAATTACAGCTGAGATAATTCACAATTGTCTTTACACTTATAGCCGAGATAATTCCCAATTGTTATCGCACTCTTTGCTTGGCAATTATTAAGGGTCTGATAGGGATGTGACAAAAACATCATAAATACAATGGCCAATAAGAGAATATAAATAGAAGGGATGCTATATAGGAGTGACATAAATCTTGATATGGGAGAAGGTATCTTATTCGAGTTCTATTGCTTTCTAGCTAAATTATCCCCATATTGCAATATTGTTATCCTTGTTTACAAGCCACACGAACTAAAACTCACTGTATAGTAGGAAATAACTTACCCCACAATATACCCACCTTCAGTTATTGACGATAGGAAGTACTTTCGAACACCTAATAATGATCGGTGATTTGAGTAATATGCATATACACCTTTGCTTTCTTTCACTCGAACAATTACCCGCTAGGTTGGCAAATCATATAATGCGTACCCAAGTCTATGATTTCAGTTGCGGGGTAATTGCCCCATTTATTGCAAATGACAATTCTCTCGGGTATGTGTCTCAACCGGTGAGCCATATAATTTATATTTATCGGTTGCTCGAAATACTAAGCAAATTAACAGAACACAACCTGAAAAGAAAACGTGAGCACACGTTCCACCCGACTATTTTGCAATCGTTAAACTCAAGAATTACACTGAAGTCGATTGAATGGGTCGCTCATTGCTTCTCCGGGGATCCACTTGATTTAAATAAACGAAATCCGCCCGAAAATGGATGAGAAGGTTGCCGCTAAACGGAAGTTATTTGTTATGCAACGAAACTGAGGAGAAAAATAAAATCCATTAATAAGAAGAGTCGCCAATGCGTGAGCCAAATTCACAATTAACGTGTGACACAGAGTCCGTAGTTTGCAAAGGAAAAATGTATTGTGCTTAATAAACGAAATATGTTTTGAGCATTTTTTACAAGTTATTATGTGACTGAAAAAATAAATAAATTAAGCTAAGAAGTTTTCCCAATTAACTTAGGTATTAGTTAGAATAAACATAATAATAAAAATTCGTTTAATTTTAACTAGCTTGTGGTGTTTCTTTTGAGCAGTTGATTTAACAGTCCAAAATAGTGATTTCTAGGTTGCCCATTATTTCGCCATTTACGGACAATCCAAGTGGTTTGTTTACGATGTCTTAGCTTCCTCTCATAACTTATCCAGAAGTCATCTGCTCGACACTTGACACAGTTTGTCTGAGTTCCCGGTTTACCTTTTTCGTAGCCCAGTAGCGTGGTTCCAACCGACCAAAACCGGTTACCGGCAAAGGCCCGAAAATGCAAAAGCCAGACTGGCCAAAAAACAGAGCTATAAATCGCGGCAAATGCCAAATCCAGTACGTGTTTATAACTGTGCAAATGAACTCTGCAAGGCGATGTGAAAACTCGTTTTCTCACGAGATTCGCGGCTAAGGTCAGTCGGGGAAATGCATTCGCCTTGAGATTCCGGCGAGAACTTTTCACTTTTTACTTTCGTTGGCGATTACAAAACTGTGTTGGAATGAGAGCGATTTTCGGTCTGGCAGCTTGCCGAGTTTTTCACCGAGTCGCTGGCTTTTGGCCCTGATATTGACACTTGAATGGGGTGCCCTCTGGCTCTGTCATCTTGCGACATGCCACCGGTTAATTGGATGGAACAGTAGTGAATACATTATCCATTCAATTTCCCAGCCAACGCCCCCGCAGTTTGGGATCGTATGTGGAGGTGGGTGGCTCGAAAAACGCCCAGTAATTTAACAATAGGACGGCAGAGTATGGAATCAGCGACCTGTTCAGCGATGCGCTCGACTGGAGCCCCATATCCGTTCTATATTTCCATGGGATGTATCTAGTATATGCACAGCATTGTTGGCGTTGACGTCTCGGGGCACTGGCGTAATCCGATTTGCGGTCCATTTCAGTGCGACTTGCTAAATTGAAAAATTGCCTTTACAAAGTAGGCTTACATTCTTATGCGAGCAAGTGAGATAGCTGGCACTGTAAACTTTTCAATTTGGACAGTGGAAATTCCTCATTTTTTAAGATCGTGACTTTGCGACGTTTTCGTAGAATTTTATTTCACTTTTTCTTTTTTTTTTGCGACAGTGAGTGGCATGCAAATTACTCATCTCATCTCTTGAGTGTGCATGTTACTATTTTTATAGATTACAATTACCACGAAAATAGCTTAGACATTCATTCAGATACTGCTACCTAACATTTCACCTGCAAAAGGGAAACCGAATTAGAAATTACAGAGCAATTAACCCAATGCCACAGTTGTGACTCGCTGAATTGGAACTATCTTTTAAAGATGGGCAAATAATCTCCGAATAACAACAGTCTGACCTTCTGGGAAAACAAAGTCGCCTCTTTTATAGCCGGTAAATGTTTGCGCTACTCTTTTTCACCTCTCAAGATACCCGATACCAGGAAACCAACCCTCAAAGGCGACAAGTATTCGTTGTTTATGTTTAAATTGAGTTGAAAGCCAAATAAACGTCAATTGCGCCTTACAATTATGGCTGACGGTGGCAAATCGGCGCTTTTTGGATACCCAGAGTTCCCCAGAATGATCTCACACAAGCACTTACATTCAGTTAAATGGGAGATGAAAGATGAAGACGCATAGAAAACCGTGTAAAAGTAGTTACCCTAGTCACCTACGTTACGTCGTTACGCAGCAAAGCTCAACCCAAAAGCAGGCACTGAAAACGTAACGAAAGCTTACGTCATGTAGAGCGTTATGTAGAGTGTATGTAAAATAGTTAACTCATTCAAATGCCCATAAATAAATATCAATATAATTATATTCATTCTTGTTGCCAAACTAAAATAGATCGCAATACTTGGCAGTCAAAGTGAAAAATCACTTAATTGCTTTGGGCGCGCACAACTGTACCGCAGCCTGACCATAAAAATTCCATTAGAAGACTGCCAAAAATACACCCTACATACGAACACTTAAATAATTAGAATATGGCATACATCAAGCTAGACAGTGTGAATGGCTTCTCTTCTTTGTCACGAGAGCTTAACATGCCCAATGCCAGCTAAAAACAATTAACACAAAAGGGAACCATAAACAAGAGGAAAGGAAGTTGGAGATGTTTAACTATCAGGTGGCATATACCTCAAATGTTTGGATTTATTAAAAATATATCTCCCTGGAAGATAAAATAAATATAAAATAATTATACTAGAAATGACAGAATAATAATCCATGACATATTAGTTTTTATAATATGCCAACCTGGAATTACTGATCTTCTAAGGCCTCATAAGAGATAACCCCACTGCTCCCTCTTCCAAGATGTAAGATCCAAGCTTCTACCCCCTCTTCAACAGTAGATCATTCGCAAGTCGGTGCGATCGTGTCGGATTGGCAGATTGAACTTGTGAGGAGAGGCAGGCGACAAACACGTGTTGGTCTCAGCCGGCGGCAACTTTCAGAGCGGGCTTCGACATCGCCACACACATTCGCATATGAACACTTATCGAGTCAAGCGTGACTGTAGCTATTTTTACTGCTCCAACTTTGGTCTCGCTCTGCGGTTTGTTGAAAAAATAAATAATGGTTAAACCAAAACAAAAGGGAAATGCCGTGCGGTTTTGTTCTGACTTTCGGGCTCTGTCAAAATTAACAGCAACTTGTCAAAACGATTAAATAGCGTATATATTTTGGCATGACCAGTAATTACACACAAAATACAGTGCACCTTGCGGGGGCGCCTCCATTTAGCGGCGTCGCATTTCTATGACTTCATCCTGGGTCTGTAGACATACATATTTACACATGTCTGCCCCATTTGCTTTTGTTGGGGATGGTTAGGGTACCTTAAAGACCATTATTTTGATATTAACATTAATGAGATACCCTCGATGTTACCATAATCACTTAGCTGTGCATATTTTAGGCAGCGCGTGTACGTGTACTCCATGTGCCGAAAGTCACGAGATGTGAATGTGTACCATGCTTACGTCCATCCGATATAATTAGACATATATACTATGCGGAGGTGGTGCGCCCGATTTCTTTGACTTTGGTCCGACCGAAAAGTTCACTCTATCAATTGACATCAATCGCCGGGCCCGAAATGATGCATTATGCAGGGGAGAATTTTCCATCGCCTCACTTAATTAGTCGAAATCTGAACACTAAAACTGATGTAATCGCCCAGCGGCGGAGAGAGCGACGCCGGCGCAGAATCGTACATTCGTACACCATGCTCGGTCTAAATCCGAACCCACTGGCCGCAGAAATACTCGGGGCATAGGCATACCCACATACCCACATACCCACAGCCGCGGTGTAGCCACAGTTTATAAATGAAGGCGGCGCAACAGTTGGCGCTCAGTGGGAAAAGCTAAAGGCAGCAAGCGGGAGCGCAAAGTGCCGACTCAGTTGACCGTTCAGCGTCGAAGGCAGAACACATAGGGCTGGCGAATTATCGCTAATTGTTTCTTGATTCAAAACTCCGAGCTTCCCGGTCCGCGATATGTTACGGTCTTCAGCCGGCCAGGTCGACAGATAGACAATGAAATGGTTTAAGCGTGTGCGCAAAAAGTCTTGAACTCGAGGAAAACCGAACTAGAAAATATCGAATTTAGCTGAGTTAAGGGTGGCTTCCCGCAAAATGCCCTTCCGCCGCAGCAGTCTGAACCATCGCCACCGCGATGGCCACGTTTTGGTGTGGAACCAGAGGAATGTTCATGAGTCTCTGGAGCAGCAGCCACATAGTAAGCTAAAAATCGTATTTAAAAAAAGATCCACAAGTCTACATACAGTTATGCCTTAGTCACTTCTAAAAAATTAATAGCTTATTGATCCCTCCATTTGTTTTTCTTCTACACTTTTCTTTTGTGCCTACCCTGCGTATACGTAATATTAAGGGTAGAACTATGTTGTCAATCGTCGCTCGCCTTTTAAACACATATCTCCACCGGTAGACCGGTTTTCTTCTCCTTGGGCTGCTTTCGCGCGATACACACGTGCTTCTCCCCATCGCCAGATTGCTGCCCACGAAAGCAAACGCGGCAATTGTGCAACACGAGATCTTGGCGGAAAATGCGGGGAAACCAGGGAAAAAGCGAGCAAATCGCGCGATTTAACGCTGCGTGAGCAGAAATAAACGGCCAGCGAACAACAATATTTTTAAAATTATTTTTCGAATCAGCAATTTTGCGTTTTCGGACTATTGTTTATGTCATATATTTTTTTGGTAAATTACGGGGCTACTGAATTCTACCAAATCTGTTGGGTTATTGAACACAAAAAGCTAATCGTACAGTTTTTGTTTTTCCACAAGGTGGTCAAAGTTCATTAGTTTTGAAAGTTACTTGCCTCATTTAATTCTGTTCACTGGCAGCCTTGACTTTGCTATGCGTCACGTACTAATTAAACCATAAAGACCAAACACCAGACCCAAGCCCTAGAAAGCAAACACAACTGTACTGAAAGCTGGAATTCTGGGTAACCTCACGTGTTCCACGGCCGTGTAAATTGCTAGAAATGCCGGCGATTCACGTTTGACAAATGACACAAATAGCACTAAAAACAACAAGCCCTCCTCCACCCAACGTAAACAATGGCTTTCATCATAATAACAGAACGCGATCTAGGAATATGACTCTGTGGCTATAAAATAAAATAAATAAAGGCAATTGTGAAATATTCGTAGAAACTAAATTAAAAAAATATTAATTAATACAAATGGAATTAAAAACATCCATTTGTAGTGTTTTATGAGTCTGATAGTCTCCGACTTCCCATGAGTCACTTAGCAAAGCCGATGGGAATCTTATCTCGAACGAGCAATGAACCTTGAGCTAAGCAAACCCCAGACGAGATTATATCTTCATATCTCGGCGATAGCCTCGATACATTTGGGTTATTTCTGCATTTCCGAAACATATAATTTGCCATCTGGCATTTGTAGTTGATGACAAGATTTCCGCTCGCTTTAGATTAATTATTTTGTACTTGCTCATTGCTCACTGACGCATGCATTGAGTAAGCTAAGTTTTCACATTCTTAGAGGGGTATATTTTAATTTTTTGTGTTCTCTTTGGGTCTTTCTTAAATGGGCTTCGTACTAATTTGCATTATGTTAATTTTTTAGGATGCTTCGCCACCCGGTACTTTGTGACCTTCATGCTTTTCCTGGGCATGGCCAATGCGTATGTGATGCGCACTAACATGTCGGTCGCCATTGTGGCCATGGTCAATCACACGGCCATTAAGACCGGCGTAGAGGAGTACGACGACGAGTGCGGAGATCGGGACATACCCATTGTAAGTTCACTTGACAAAGATCCATATTTGGTAACTTTTTCACTTCTCCTTTTACTCCGTTTTCAGGACGATTCCCAGGACGGCGAGTTCCCTTGGAGCTCGGCCCTGCAGGGCTACATCCTGTCCTCCTTCTTCTACGGCTATGTGATCACCCAGATCCCCTTCGGCATCCTGGCCAAGAAGTACGGCTCCCTGCGATTCCTGGGCTACGGCATGCTGATCAACTCGGTGTTCGCCTTCCTGGTCCCGGTGGCTGCCCGCCAAGGAGGAGTCTGGGGTCTGTGCGCGGTGCGGTTCATCCAGGGTCTGGGCGAGGGTCCCATTGTGCCCTGCACCCACGCCATGCTGGCCAAGTGGATTCCCCCCAACGAGAGGTCCCGCATGGGTGCTGCCGTGTACGCGGGTGCGCAGTTTGGAACCATCATCTCGATGCCGCTTTCCGGACTGCTGGCCGAATACGGCTTCGATGGCGGCTGGCCATCGATCTTCTATGTGTTTGGCATCGTGGGCACCGTCTGGTCCATCGCCTTCCTGATCTTTGTGTACGAGGAACCCTCCGCGCACCCCACCATCGACGAGCGCGAGAAGAAGTACATTAACGATGCCCTCTGGGGATCCGATGTGGTCAAGGTGGGTTTTTTGGAAATGAAAACTTAAAGCGGAGTGGCTAATCATGTTCTCCTTACTTCTTTTAGAGCCCTCCCATCCCCTTCAGGGCCATCTTGAAGTCGCTGCCCTTCTACGCCATTCTGTTCGCCCACATGGGCCACAACTATGGCTACGAGACCCTGATGACCGAGCTGCCCACCTACATGAAGCAGGTGCTCCGCTTCTCGCTGAAGTCGAACGGCCTGCTCAGCTCCCTGCCCTACCTGGCCATGTGGCTCTTCTCCATGTTCATCTCGGTGATCGCCGATTGGATGATCAGCTCGAAGCGCTTCTCGCACACGGCCACCAGGAAGCTGATCAACAGTATTGGCCAGTACGGACCTGGCATCGCCCTGTTGGCCGCCGCCTACACGGGCTGCGATCGCGCCCTCACCCTGGCCATCCTCACCATCGGAGTGGGCCTGAACGGAGGCATCTACTCCGGCTTCAAGATCAACCACTTGGACCTCACCCCGCGCTTCGCCGGCTTCTTGATGGCCATCACGAACTGCTCGGCCAACTTGGCAGGTCTGCTGGCGCCCATTGCCGCGGGCAACCTCATCTCCGATCACAGCAAGGTGAGTTTTGGGGTCCGTTTCTTTAAGTGCACCACTAAGAACTCCATTTCGAGTGGGAAAATCAATGGGAATGGTCTTTACGTGTCACTAATGTCACCCCTTTCCTTTCCAGCCCATGATGGGTCAGTGGAAGATCGTGTTCTTCATCGCCGCCTTCGTGTACATCATCTGCGGCACCTTCTACAACATCTTCGGCTCCGGCGAGCGCCAGTACTGGGACAATCCGGCGGACGACGAGCAGAAGCCGGCCCTGCAGACCACGAGCACCACCACCCCGCAAAGGCTGAGCAATGGCAACTCGGCGCCACCGGCCATCTCCAGCTCCTAAGATCCAGAGGGCTCTAGTATTAATACGTACACTATACGAAATGCCTAGCTTAGTCCTTGTTTTAGTTACCTATGTGTTAAGCCAAAAGTTGTTAATATTGATAGTTAGCCATTGATCTATTCCTATGCCTGCATATACATACACCGCTAAAAAGACAGTAAGCTTCCCATTGTAAATAAATTGGGAACTCGAAACGAGCCCACACCAAATCGAGCACAAATCGTCAACTTTAGTTAGGGAATTCGAGGTCTACCATTGCAAATGCGTAGTTTTCTTATCTTATTGTGATAGCGACAGAGTTTAGTTCTCTCACTGATTTGTTTTGAAATTAAATGATCCGCTCAAGCGAACATTGTTAAGCAAGTAACCAAATGTATGGAAACCATTAAAAACTACTAGTTTAAGAAACAACCAAAACACGAGCTTTTATTTATTGGGAAAGAGTTCCTTTTTTGTGAACCGTCAGTGAACCGTCTAGGAATTAAGGTTTTAAGTACTGAGTACAAAGGCTGTAGAACTCACAAGACTGTATATTAAACACACTCACCCTCGAATCCTAATTCGTTAATAATAAGCACTTGTCAGTATATCAAGTGAGGCCATCTCCTCCGACACTGTATTTAAATGCGTGGCCCGACGCAAACGCCATCAGTTGGCAGTACAAATGGGTCACGAGGAGGAGCTGAGTTCGGACCAGGTGGATCTGAAAGTATCTCCTTTGGTGGGGTCCCTTCGACGGACTTGGAGTGACTTCTGCGCCACCAGCAGTATCCACGGATTGAGATATACCCGCGATGAGGACACCAACCGAATAGTGCACCTTGTGTGGCTGTTGATTTCCTTGGTGATGTTTATTTGCGCTGTGGCTATGGCGCACACCTTCTACATGGACTACCGCAGCAGTCCCACCAGAATGAATGTGCAAAGTGATCACACGCCGGTTACTAACCTCTATTTCCCACCAGTCACCATCTGCCCCGATGTCCTCTTCAACATGCAGAAGTCCAAGGCTTTTCTAAACACCATGTGGGTAGTAATTTCTTGAAGGAAAATTTGTTTTATATATTTTATCCCGGCAGACAACTCCCAAAAGGAACTGAGTTAAGTGGCATTCTCCGGAATCTACACATTTTCTACGGTTTTATGCTGGACGATGAACGTTACACTGCCCAAGATATTGAACAAATGGAGACGCTGCTCTCCATCAACAATCTGACCCTTCAACAATTTGTGGAGCACCTTCGTTGGGATTGTGATGAAATCCTTCATCGCTGTCGATTCAATGGCGACATATTGGATTGTTCGAAGATTTTTCAGCTCTCCAAGACTTTCTTCGGTCACTGTTGTTCATTTAATTTGCGACAGAAGGGGTGGGTAAATAATTGCGATACCAAATCCGATAAATACGTTACTTAATTGATTTTTTCCAAAGTCTGAACTTTACAGCCCAACGAGCCATTGGGGGTCTTAAATACGGCCTTTCGGTTATTGTTAGGTATAAAGACGACAGCTACGATCCAGTGCAATCGTATTCCTATGGCGTAAAGCTGCTAATCCAGGAAGTAGATGCCTTTCCCAGTGCCCATGCTGCTGCAAAGTTCGTGGCCTTCAACACGGAGACTTTTGCCGCCCTCAGACCCCAAGAAACCTTCTGTTCGGCGGCTGTCAAGGCTCTTACGATTGAGGAGAGGAATTGCATTTTCCAGAAGGAGTTTCCCCTGAGGTACTTTTCCGACTATGTTTACCCCAACTGCGAGCTGAATTGTAGGGTCACGAATATGGTTAAGTTTTGTGGCTGCCACACGTACTTCTTTGACTTCAATCGGACCGAAGATAGGATTTGTACCTTCAGGGATATACCCTGTCTGGTGGATAATTTTGGTGGGTTATTGGCTTTAATGATAAATGTATAAAGCTAACAATTTGCTCTTAGCTAATATAATAACCAGGAAAAAGAGCACGCAGTGCTATTGTCCCCTTACCTGTGAACACTTTGATTACGATGTCCAGGTATCCAACTTTCCCCTAGAACTCAACATGCCAGTGCCAGATAAGTTCTAGTAAGAGTATATAAAACTTGTCACTTGATTTACTATAGAAAACATTTTCGATTTCAGCTCTGGTTTAGCCAAAAACGACGGAGTATTGCATATATTTATCAACTCCTTCAGCTATCGTCGCCTACGTCGTGACTTGCTTTCCAATATGGTTACTTTGGTTTGTAAGTTGAGTGAATATTTCCCCCCAATTTCCGAACTTATCAAGTGCTATTTTTAGCTAACCTAGGCAGCGCCTTCAGTCTTTTTGTAGGAATGAGTATGCTCTCCGTGGTGGAGATTATCTACTACTTTTCAGTCATCCTTCGCAAGAACTATAAAATAGAATGCGAAACACGCAACAAGATGCTTCATAAGAGACCAAAGTTCGCAAGGCCCAAAGTAAATGACTCCCACAGTAAACACCAGAAATCAGTTTTCATAATTCACAAATCGTAATCTGCTCGGTGGCAGAATGCAAAAAATATTGTCGTAAATTATACCAATAAAATCGATTTCAAGAGGAATTAAGCGAGCAAATGAACTTAGTTATACTCTGTTCAAAGGGGTATAATGTTTTTGCTTAGATTTTTAAAATGCTAAAGTAAATATATTAAAAATATGAATTTTCGGAAACCGAGATCTATGCTTAAAAACACATTTTCCGATAAAAAAATGATAGTTGGTTTTTGAAAATATCAATTCGATATTCTCGAGTATTTCCTTTTGATCTTTTCGAAAATTTCCCTTTGAAACAATTATAAATTTGTTAGTTATAAGAGAGAAAATCCAAATAATCGTATTTATGTTTGAAATTATATTACAGATTAAAAATTGTTTCCTTAAGAATATCAAAAAAGTTTTCAAAGAGAATATTTTACTTTGGAGTAACAATGAAACGTCCAGCAAGGGTATCTTATGCACTAGTGACGAATCTAATCTTCTTGTCTCATAATCTTCTGGGAAAGCCAAGATACTTGCAAATATCTGCCCCACTATCGCGTATTGCCATAGGTCAGCCGATGGCCATTGTAAATCTGCCCCCAATCGTGTGGCGACCATCTGCTGGTCGTAAATTGGACCCAAGCGAAGCAAATCCGCGATAAGATTGCCGGGGGTATAAAAGTGGAAATCGCTCTGAAGATTGCCCACAGTTTACGGTCATGTTCAAGTTCGCATTGGCCCTGACGCTCTGCCTGGCGGGCAGCCTTTCGCTGGCCCAGCACAATCCCCACTGGTGGGGCAACCGCAACACCATTGTCCACCTGTTCGAGTGGAAGTGGTCGGACATCGCCGAGGAGTGCGAGAGGTTCCTGGGACCGCGCGGCTTCGCGGGGGTGCAAGTGAGCCCCGCGAACGAGAACATCATTGCCGCGGGTCGGCCTTGGTGGGAGAGGTACCAGCCCATCTCCTACAAGCTGACCACACGCTCAGGAAATGAGGAGGAGTTCGGCGACATGGTGCGCCGCTGCAACGAAGTGGGTGTGCGCATCTACGTGGACGTGCTCCTGAACCACATGTCCGGCGACTTCGAGGGCGTGGCCGTGGGCACGGGCGGTTCAGAGGCGGAGCCCAGCAAGAAGTCCTTCCCAGGGGTTCCATTCACCGCCCAGGACTTCCACCCCAGCTGCGAGATCACCGACTGGAACGACCGCTTCCAGGTGCAGCAGTGCGAGTTGGTGGGCCTCAAGGATCTCGACCAGAGCAGTGACTGGGTGAGGAGCAAGCTGATCGAGTTCCTGGACCACCTCATCGAACTGGGTGTCGCCGGGTTCCGAGTGGATGCCGCCAAGCACATGGCTTCGGAGGATCTGGAGGTGAGTCGGGTCTGCGTCTGTTAAATGCTCCATGATTGCTAATCGTATCCATATCCGCAGTACATCTACGGCAGCCTGAGCAACCTGAACATCGAGCACGGCTTCCCCCACAACTCGCGTCCCTTCATCTTCCAGGAGGTCATCGACCATGGCCACGAGACCGTGTCCCGCGACGAGTACAAGAATCTGGGTGCCGTGACCGAGTTCCGGTTCTCTGAGGAGATCGGCAACGCCTTCCGCGGCAACAACGCCCTCAAGTGGCTGCAGAGCTGGGGCACCGGCTGGGGATTCCTGCCCTCTGAGCAGGCCCTGACCTTCGTGGACAACCACGACAACCAGCGGGATGCGGGCGCTGTGCTGAACTACAAGACCCCCCGGCAGTACAAGATGGCCACCGCCTTCCACCTGGCCTACCCCTACGGCGTCAGCCGGGTGATGAGCTCCTTCGCCTTCGACGACCATGACACTCCGCCGCCGCAGGACGCGCAGGAGAGGATCATCTCGCCCGAGTTCGACCAGGATGGAGCCTGCGTGAACGGGTGGATCTGCGAGCACCGCTGGCGCCAGATCTACGCGATGGTGGGCTTCAAGAACGCCGTGCGCGACACGGAGCTGGCCGAGTGGTGGGACAACGGCGACAGCCAGATCTCCTTCTGTCGCGGCAACAAGGGCTTCCTGGCCGTCAACAACAACCTGTACGACCTGTCCCAGGAGCTGAACACCTGCCTGCCGGCCGGGTTATACTGCGATGTGATCTCAGGCAGCCTCATCGACGGTTCCTGCACCGGCAAGTCCGTCACGGTGGACGACAGGGGATACGGCTACATCCACATCGGAGCCGAGGACTTCGATGGTGTGCTGGCCCTGCATGTGGAGGCCAAAGTTTGAATTAAGGTAACACAGAAATCTGGGCTTTATTTTGTCTCAAATTACAATAAAAACGAACGCACATAATGTATGGAGGTTTTAGCTCTAACTATTTGAGTATGTATGTGAGCGGTAACAATAACAGTACAAATGCAAAGTAGGACATTTAACGAGATTCGATTCGAACTGGAACTGGAACTGGACTTAGTCTAACAAATGCCACGACCACGACATCCTCTGAATAAAAACCCGGACAAAGGGAATACCTAATAACGTGTGGGTTGGGGAACTTGGGCTAAATCCACATCCGATCCAGCTGGCACACTGTAAACACGCTCTGCAAATAGAAGAAGTTGGCATTGTGAAATTGTAGTTGGGTGCTCTGGCCGGGATTCGAGTCGCTACATCTCCATTGGCGACCACCTCCCACAAGCATTCGGAGGGGCAATGGAGAACCGATCGGAAATACGTAACTGGCAAAGCGATTTGGTCAGCGACTGTTGGTTAGTTTCAAAACAAGCAACTACAAATCAAAATAGCAACGTTTCTACTGGCATTCCGATTAGTTACGAGTGTAGTCCTGGATCGACGGGTCTCCAGATCCGAGATGTCGGCTGGTGGCAATCAATGTGTGGTTATCGTTACGATTAGTTACCATTTACTTGGAATTAAATGCTCATGATGCGTATTTACCTGTAAACTGCTGATATCTTTCTTCTTACGAGTAAGTTGCTAAAAAGCCAACGGTTCTTACTCCCTGGGGAGTATTACATACAATGTGTATACCTTGTAAATTATGATTTGTTAGACACTCCGCTTAATTTTAGGATTCTCATAAAGGGGTTCCTTTTAACTAACAAACACAGAGTCCAAAAATGTTGCTCAAAGTTTAACACTAAATATTAATTTGATAATATTAATTTTCTCCACATTTCATCTCTTTTGCGGCACAAAAGTTAATGCTCTCTTTTGCGGCACAAAAGTTAATGCTCTCTTACATTGTTAAGATTTAAGTACGGCCCCAAATCCAGCTTTAATATACAAACATGCGCACACACATATGCGCATAATTTTACTCTGATCTTAGTCTTAGGAGTTATCTAGAAAAACGTTTCTGACTTTTTGCAATAGCAGCGCAGTTCGGTTACATTTAGAATTTAATATTTCTTAGGTTCCTTAGATTCATATAATGTATATCGATTATATTATGCCATCAAAAATTTGTAATACTTGCGCTTGATTGCGCATATATCTATAGCTATATAACAGGAACCACGTAAAAATGCACAAATACTTAGAATATTCTCTCTTTCTGATTTCGGTTTCCACATTAATTACAACATCGAAGTGTGAACTCTTATGCACATGTATACATATAAACTTTTGATCTATTGTTGTTTAAATAGTAGTCAGGTAAATCGTGGGAGGAATTATTGTTGCGCATAAGTTTGTTAATTATTTAGAATATATATTTAATATCTGCCACAGCAATCGATCAGTGTGTAACCGAGGATCTAACGAGGGTTGCTTGACAAGTCAGCAGAGATCATAAGTCATAAGCCAGACCCCCGATAAGGCGGGGTGGATCGACTGACTTCAGTCGGCCGAAGTTCGCGCTTTTGGTAGAGCTTTTGAAACGGCCTAAAAACCAGAACCATTTTATAAAGTTTGATTACCAAACGCCAGTAGTTCGGTGTTATTCTTAACCCTAAAGAGATTCGATTGTGAGAGGTTCTTCATAGATGCAACACTGAGATTGTCAAAAATATATGCGTATCGTGGAGATATTGAGAGATTGCCGCGAGGTTCTTTTCGTTTGCTACCAGTGATGGGAATTACATATTTGGGTTATTTTGGGTACCTAGCTACATCAAACATTAATTTTATTACTCCGCAAGTACTGTCTACAATATGGCAAAATTGCATTGGAATTTCAAGTTTACGGATTTCTTAATCAGCGTTCTATTACACAAAAATGATGTGGTTACAGGTACTTAGATTCATTCGCAAACATGTATGAATTTAATTATTTCTTATGCAATACATTAAACATCAAAATGTTTTGTAATAAGTGTAGTTGTCTTCCCTAGCAATAAGCTGTTATATTTACGAGTTTTCAAAATATTTGCAGGACAATTCGGTTCTTATTTTACAGATTTTGATTCGCTTCGACGTTTATTCTTTATGGTATGAGTATTTCAAATATTTTTCAAAAGAGTATTGTTATACCTCTGCAAGTATGTAAAAGGCAGTTGTTGTTAAATTTAAAGGTATTTGAGTGTGATAAAGGTATTTTGTTTGATTAACTCACCGAATATTCTGATATTCTGACTCTATGGTTGGATGCCTATCTAAGTACTTTCCCCATCACTGGTTGCCACTAGTTGCATGCCCCACTGCCCCCTAGAAGCTCTTTCCTGCATCGTGGATGCGCTTGCGGCGACTGTCGCGCCTCCTGTACCGATCGATAATCCGCGAGCGGTGCCTCTCCGGGCACAGGGCCTCCGGCGAGCTGTCCACCTTCTTCATCACGATGCGGAATGTGAAGGTGTGCTTGGGCGAGGCGCTGGCCGCTCGTCGCGGGGACGGCGGCTCGAACTCGCTGCCGCTGGAGAAGCCGCAGGACGAGAGCGGTCCGGGGTGGGGCAGCGGCACGGGTCCGACCGCCGCGCCCGGCACCCTGGGCGTCCCGTTCGTGTAGCCCGACGGGGTGGACATGGAGCCGGTGGACAGCTGCTGGGTGAGCACGGAGCTGGGCCGGGGCTCGAAGATCGAGGCGCATCTCTGGTCCGTGCAGAGGAAGGTGCGCACCTCGCGCTCCTCCTCGCCCCTCTGGCGCACCGTCAGCGGGAAGTGCTTGCGACTGGGGTCCCCGTAGGGACTCTTCTGCGGCTCCGGGGGATAGCCGTAGCCGTGGGGGTAGGAGCCGCTCGAGTCGTAGCTGTCCCGGGAGCTGTAGTTCGAGGAGGTCTGCTGGGACAGCGGACTGCGTGCCCGGGAGAAGGCACTGAACTGGGAGACGTGCAGCTGGCGGAAGTTCTCCGTGCGCTGCTTCTTGCTCATCGCCGGAAAGGGGAGGCTGGGCGAGCGGCCACCGGCCTCGGTGGGCGTGTAGTCAAAGTGGGTCTCCAGCGAGGACTTGCGGCCGCCGCAGGAGGAGCCCGATCTTTGGAAGGTCTCCGCATCGACCAGCTCGATGGAGCTCTTGCGCAAGTCCACGGCCCGCCTGCCCTGGGCCTTTTCATCGGTGTCCACGATCTCAAAGCTGGAGGTCTGATCCTCGTAACTAGTGGACTGGTACCGCGAAATGGACACGTCGAAGCTGGTGTCCCTGGAGGAGTAGGGACAATCGAAACTGGACTCCCCGCGACTGGACTTGCTCCACTTGCTCTCGACCAGCTCGAAGCTGTCGCCCCCGGAGTCCAGGCGCTGCAGGTTGATCAGGTCGGTTTCCGTGTCCACCCCGGGACTGCGCAGCTGCTCGAGAAAGGGGGACCGCGGGGGGTCGAAGGAGGAGCGGCGCGACGGCGGCTCAAACTCGATGGTAGGACACTGCAGCGGCTTCTTGGCCGGCTCGGCCGCCGCCAAGACTGCGGCCTCAGCCTGGGCGACGGCCAGATCCGCGTCCTCGGTCTCCCGCCGCAGTGCCTGCAGATTCACATAAACTGGTTCTGGCGCGTACGCCTTCAAGATCTCTACCAACTCGGCGCGCATGTCATCGGGTATCATCAGGTCGTTGGAGTCCGACTCCCGCTCCTCGCTGATGCGCGGCTCGATGGGCTCGCGGCTCTCGGAGCGACGGGTGAAGTGGTGCACGGCGGCCGCTCCGCCCTCGCCGTTCAGGGCCACCACCTTCAGCGAGTTGGTGACCTCCTCCACGAACTGCGCCATGGCTGCATCGGCTTGCTCCACCTCCGCTTCCGCGTCCGCGTCCGTCCTCGGCTCCGCCTCCTTGTCGATCTCCTCATCCCGTTCGGCCTCTGGTTCTTGCAACTCGCGGAGCCTCTCATGCTTGATATAGGACTCACCTACCTTCTCGAAGTGCACGTTGGCCAGCTCGAAGGGCAGCTCGTCCGATCCACCTACCTGTTGCTCCGCGTGGGCCTGGCTCAGGTCCGCACTGGGTCTCTTCGAGCCCGAGGCCGAGCTCTGCTTCTGCTTCTCCCTCTCCTTTTCCTCCTCGTCGCGCTTCGTCGATCTGCGCAGCCTCAGGGACATCTTAGCGTAGTGGGTGAACTTCTGGGATATCTTCGGCTCGAAGCCCACCTCGGACATTTGCTTTTGGACAGCACTCTTGGCCGCCGTCGAGGAGGCGGCTGGACTGGCGGAGAAGGTGCTCTGCCGGATCAGCGGACCACCGGACGAACCCGATTCGGCTCGGGTGAAAGCGTTTGCAAAGCGGTTGGTTCGGCTGCTAAGATGCTTCGATGGCTTCCTCACAAAGGCCAGGATCTCGCGCATCACGCTCTTCTTCTCCTGCGGCTGGGCCTCCTTTTCCTTCTCCTTCTCCCGCTCCTTCTCCTTTTCCCGGGCAGCCGCCTCCGCCGCCTCCCGCTCCCGTTCTGCGCTCTTGTAAGTCTCTGCGGGATTGGAGACGGTTATCGGGGGAATCGGGCCCATAGGCGAGCGCTTCTCGCTGGCGAAGTAGATGGGTGTGAAGAGGCTTATCGATGGTCGCTTTAGGCCCACGAATCCCGCCTCGTCCGCCTCCGTGGCCATGTCCTGGACGTGGACCGTGGATGTGGGGCTCCTCCGGGTGCCCGGCAGCCCAAATTGGCAGCCAAAGTCCGTGGGAGCCACTGCGCCCAGCGGCGAACGACGTTCCTGAGTGTGCACGCTGAAAGTGGGACTGCTTCGCCGGGGCTCCCCGGTGGGACTTCTGACCGTGGGACTGGTCATCGGGTCGTTCGGTGACCTCAGTCCACTGCTCGGGAAGAGCGGACTGCGACGGCCTTGGGGACTGCGATCGTTGAGACCCACCGGACTTCGCCTGCCCTGCGTGCCCAGGGAAATGGAGAGCTGTCCGCTGTTCTTCCTCCGGTTCGAGGCCCGCAGAGTGCCTTGCCGCGAGAGCGAGGTGGGCGTCTTCTGGGAGCTGCTGCCCGGACTCTTCGACTCCGGCACCGGCATCACCGGACTCTTCGGGGTCAGCGGGCTGCGCTTCTTCTCGCCATTGCCGGAGGCCAGGCTGGTGTTCAGCGTGAGGTTCGGGGCATTGTTGGGACTTCTCCGCTCCGAGGGACTGCGCCGCGTCCGGAAGGACTGCGACTTGGCCTTGCGGATCTTCGGCAGCGACTGGTGGTGGTGGCGGTGGCGGTGGTGCTGCTGCTGGGAGGACGAGGAGGAGGAGGGGCCGTTCAACTTATGTTAGTTGCTGTGGTGCGGCCCACTCGTGGGGTCGCTGCTGCCGCTGGAGCTGAGGGTGGTGTTCGATCCGTAGGGGTCCAGTGAGCTCTGGACCGACATCGAGCGCCCTTGGTTCTGGCGGGCCCGCCTCACTCGGCTAGAGTTGGGAGACAGCTTTCCGGGGTCGATGCTTTCTGGGTCTGCCTGCAAAGTGTAGAATCAGACATAAAGGGGACAACAGGATGGATGGACGGAATGGAGCGCATGGGTGGCGGCGGCGGCGGGGTGGATGGTTCGATGGACGGATAGAGAGACAGGCGGACAGATAGATGGACAGATGAAGGCGTGAGTGACTGAGTTAAACACCAAGGAAGCAACGCAAATCAATCGAGAAGCACAGTGCAACCCACCTGATAGGCCAGCGCGTTCATGATGATGGCGTAGGGGACGAGGTTCAGCGGATGGATCTCCCGCATCAGCACGTTGGCGGGGATCTTGTGGAACTGGATGTACTCGCAGAAGGTGCCCAGGATCTCCTTAATGTCGATGTTCTGTGGGGTATGAGCTCGGATTAAAGAAGTGGGTTTAATGGGGCAGTGTATCTTATGAACTCTTACCGGATTGTTGTCATAGTACTTCTTGCTCCACATCAGTGCCGCCTGGAACTTGGTGAATTCGTCGGCGCGCAGCTCCTCCCTGGCCAAGATCAGGCGGACCACGTGCTGCGGCAGCAGGGTGAAGCTGCCCAGGTTCAGCACCTCGGTCCCGTGCTCATCCACGAACTCCAGCACCTTCTGGACCAAGGTCTTCGTGCACTTGTACTGGATATATCGCTCGGCAGAGGCCAACAAGGCGCACACAGTATCCACGTTGATGCAGCACTGTACAAATCCTGCACAGGCGCGACGCAGTTCCTCAAGGCCATAATAGTCCGCGGCATTCATGACACCTGCAAGCAGATAGCTTTATCGGTCTATATTATATTTCTTAAATTAGTCTGAATTTACCTAGGAGAGTACGAGGTTGCAGGGTCACACAGCCCGTGTGGATATACTCAATCAGCTGGCGAAAGACATCCGGTTCGAATTCCTCAATGATCAGAGTCTGATGCTGCTGACCTGAAGGCTACATCAATACAAGTCAGCATTTGAAACCAATACTATAATGTTAAGTCTAACGAAACATTAGCAACTAAACTTGCAGAGACAAGTGCAGAGGGTATCATGTTCATAGGCATTCCAATAGTGAGGTTCAGGCTCAATTGAAAGTGAAATCTTAACACAGATCAAATTTTTTTAGGGAGCGTACTCCCCAATTAAAGTTCAAGATTAAAAGTATGTTCAGGAGCATTAATTCCCAGTTCAGGTTAGATACGAATATCAGAGTAGATAAATCATACAAGAACAAAGTATAGTAACTGGGGAAGTAACAGAGATTCTGATAGATAAATTAGTATTTAATCCACGCAAACCATTCTAACCAACTTATCTCTACTTGAAACGTAAAACATTACGGTGCACACTCAGCCTAAACATATACATTTAGCCAATTACAATAAGAATATTTTTAGTTTTTAACAAGTAATTAGGATTAGCTTCGAAAGTCCGAAGTTCTTAATGTCCTTGCAGGTGTAAAAATTACGTGTAAAAGATAAATTTGAGATCAAAAAATGAACCAATTCTTAACAGTACAAGTATAAATAATAAATGTTTCTTTTATTTGAACCTCATGGCCTGCAAGGACATCAAAAGACTTCCAATAATTACAACACCCACACAGTTACAGCGACAGCTACAGTTACACATACACGCACAGAGGCATTATTTGATGCTTGGTTACCTCGGGTATCGGAGCTAATTGTTGGGTGAAACCGGTTCTCTATGATTACGGATATGGGTTGCGGGATAACGAGTACGAGTACGAGTACGAGTACGATGAGGAATGGTGGTTGTCACAACAGAAAAGGCACAAGAACATTGATATCAGTTAAATGGAATTCACTGGCACACGACGTATTTACACACAAAGGAAGGAAAAGGTAGGAAACTGAAAAGGTGGATACGAAAATAGTCCCATTGATGCAGACCCACACGGCAAAATGCAAAATCACACCGGCACTCACACACACCACATACGTAATCCCCCCGCTGGGTAATCGATTATGGATGAATATAGAACACATATGCGAATACGAACCTGTTGTGCGGCATTCTGCAGGTTGAGCAGGGGCTCCGAGGAGCGTTTCAGGAAGAGGCGCAGCTTGTTCTCCTTGGTGGAGGTTTCCCTTTTCCGCTGGGGCGAGGGGGCAGCATAGAGCATCTTTGCAAATACCCGGGAGCGGGATGCCAGCACAGCCTATATGAGAGGGTAAACCATTATAATACTATTTAATGCCTAATGGATTGGTACATTGCCATTAATTAATAGAATAAATCCTTTAAAAATGAGGACCAGAAATTTTATTTTAAGTTACTGATGATTTTCATAAGTTAAAACTAATTTAATAGGTTTTCAGTTTCGGTAATATTAAATTTGTATAAACTTCTAAACATGTCAAATTCACAGGTTCATAGAAATTTAATTTCTGACACTACAAAAAGGGATATTAAGTAATTCAAGACTTTTCTGTGAGTTTTATATGCTAAGTGCATAAATGATGACGCCCTTATGCCTTATTTTATTTCCAGTGTAAGGGCCAAAGTGTGAATTATTCAACGGGAGACGCATCCCACATTGAAGTTATGCAAGGGGTGTCAATTATTTAGAGGACCAGAGTGGCGATTACGCAGTGACCTGATTTCAGAGTCCGGCACAGGGAGCAGTCCGGGGAGTACGCGATGGAAATACAGAGTACAAAGCACAAACCTTGACGGCGCAGACGGGTTCGCGGGTGTCGCCCACCAGGAAGGTTACGTCACACAGCTCGGGCATGGAGGCCAGGAACTTCATGTCCTCCGCCAGGCCCGTCTTGTTCTCGAACGTCGAGAGGTCCGGCTCTGCGTCAGCCATGCCGGGTAGAATCAAAGCTTCGGGCATCTGGGTTTACTGCAATCGGGGAACTTAATTAATAACCATAATCTGGCAGGCACTGCTATCTCAATGCTATTTAAGGAACTGTGAACTACAGCGTTCTGCAACTCCAAATATTTCAAAACTACAAAGACTTGACTTCATGCACTTATCTGTCGTAAACCTAACATTCTCCCTATTGCTAGATTTGGCTTTAATCATTTTTCTGTACTGCATTGCACCTCGAAGAGACTCTGAAGGGAATTTTAACTGATTTACACAGCCTTTGAACTCGGATCTGATTTGTTTTTATAACAAAACTTTCTTTAAGTAATAATCGCTGCTGATAAGATCGAACGAGACAAAAACAAAACAAACACAATGTCCATGTGGTTAAACATTTTGTATTTGTTTTGCACTGCCATAATGTTATTTGCTTTGGTGTTTACTCTGCCATAAAATAGATTTGAGACCCATGACTTAAAGTTTAAGCCAAGTCTGGTAAAAGTCTTTATCTTGTAGTTATCTCTAAGGAGTATTTTGGGAGTATTTATGTATTTTATTATATCTTGATATTAAGTGTCCAATTTTTACAAAAATTATCATTGTCCCACCTTGTACCTAAAATCCTTGAAACAAAATAATATTCTGAAACAAAAACTCCATCCATCGCTATTCGAGCGTAATTGAAATTTCTATAAATAATTTCGTTAGTATCCAAGGTTCTATCACAAAGCCCGGCATTAAGCTGTTGAGACCTGCTGGTAATTAAATTGTAATTCACTTCAACTTCTAGCCCCACCCAACTGCCAGTCCCCAGGGCACGCGTCTGCGCCTGCTCTTCCCCAGCTCCAAGCCAATACCTTCCACCCCCACCACCTTACCCCCTTACCCCTCTGAAAACCAAACCGAACCCAACCACTAAGAGCCCCTCGAAAGCCTCACAGCCTCCGCGCCTGTCCTTGAACACGGCTAAATGAGAACTAAATTACAATTACCATAAAGGCGGGCAAAAGGCAAAAGGTAAAAAGGCAACCTCAAATGGCAGCAGACAAGGTCCTGTCACAATCAGCTACGCACAAAACAACAACAAAGATCAGGGTGGGCGTGGCTGCAGCCTTGCCACGGGGCGGTGGGTGGCTAGGTGGTTGGGTGCTTCTCTAGACAATGCAGAAAATTGCTGCACACTTTGGGAGAAGTTGGCTCTGCACTGTGGGGAACATGCTTTGGAAATTGGAAAAGTTTACCCGGGGAAAAGTTTAATTTACCTGTGTGCTCTCACTATCAAATATCGATCAAACAAAAGTAGCTGGGAAAGTTTCTACTCGTATAACTCACCCACTTGACACTTACCTGTTGCAGTGCGAATTCGGTTTCTGGTCCCTCTCCCTCAGATATTTATTTCATATATTTTTTATTTTACACATACAGTTTTTGTTTTTGCAACGGATTGGTAAAAATCCGTTTGCTAGCTTAATATTAAATCATTTCGACTGCAATTCCAAAAGTGAGCAAAGTAAGAAAAATGGTATACAAAAATTCGCTTGCCAAGACAATCCAAAAAGTATTTACAAAAGAGTATGGAAAAAATTGAAGAAAAATGCTCGTGTCTTTAGTACAATTTACAGCATGCCACAAATTGAAGGTTAAAAGAGGGGTTGGGCTGGGGGTGTTGGATACCAAAATTGTGCTGTGTATAAGTGTTTGCCAAAAAAGAAAAAACGGAATGCGAAAATGTTGTATGTGCCACGCATAAATCAGAGAGAGAAAAAGAGAAAGTCGAGGGGGGGGATCGGGTAAAATTTGATTAGATTTCGGTTAACGTGTGGAAAATTATTGAAACTTTCGCAGCTGGGGGTTTTCCACTAACTTTTTTCCAGCCAAGATGTGCGCCGAATGCGAAAAGTAGCGAGCTGTCCGATTTCCGGGTCGCTGGGGCGTCTCACTTTCACTTTTCTCCAAGGGTGACGGTGTGTGTGCGTGTGCGGTGTGTGCCTGTGTGTGCGTGTGTGTTGGTGAGGCAACCAAGGCAACAGAAGCGACACTGAACACAATCACTCGTCCTTCCACTCACACAAACGCGCGAAAAAAGCGGAAAAGGGTTCGCTGCAAATTCATAAAACTTCTACTCGCAAAAATCAAAGAGCTGTGCTGAAAGCTAATGGCCGATAATCTTATTTTTCTCTACTCAGGCATTTGGCCAACACGCACACTCACATCCACACAGAAAGCAGAAGCGTTAGCTGGACGAGAAATGAACCGTTTTGCACGAGGCACAGGAGCGTTCTGGCCGAATTATTGGTGTCTACCTCTGAGGAGGAGTCCTCGACCACTTCGCAGCTCCTGCGCATGTCCCTCGCCCATCGATCCGCTGCGAAGATGTCCCCAGTCCTCCCAGTCCCCCCAATCCTGGCCAGCACAACGTGGCCCACGGCCACTTGTTTGCATCATCTCGTGTTTATCTCGCGGATGCGCAGGCGCCGGCAAACATAAACAAAGCCCAAGCCCAAGCCCAGTATCTGACAGATTGCGACCGACAGTTGACAGCAGGACAATCGGCCCACTTGACATGCGCTCCGCAGGCGCCTTTCTCCAGTCTCCATTCGCCCTTCGCCACCAGACCGCCGACCAGGGTTTCGGTTTTCGCCTGCGGTGGCAACTCCCGAGGCACTCGAAAAAAACCACCGACCACACAGACCGATACCTGAAAAGCAAACTAATACCCTATGTTTTTGATACAACGTTCGACAACATGAAAATCGTCAAAATACCAAATTGTTTTGACGCAATTAGGGATAACATGTAAAACATATTTTAAATAATAAGGTTTCATACAATGTTTAAATTGTTTATTAAAATGTATTTATAGTAAAGTCCCACAACCAAATGTTAATATAAAGTAAAGTATGTACTTTAATACACTTGCAGACTTTTGTTTTAATTTCAAATTCATTGTTCCCTATAAAAGTAAATGTTTGCTCCGAATTTTTTTTATAGATTTTAGAACACGCCACACAAGGAAAATTTTAGTGATAATCTGACCAAAGCGATTGTACACTTTTTGAGTATTTGAGTTTCCATCGAAGCTAATCTCTATTTGGATTCCCACAAGAATTTCAGTACAGCTCTACAGCTGCAACAACTATATATATATTTTATGTATTTATAAAAATTAGTGAGCTTGAGACTTCTAAGCAGCAGCTTCAAATACGAATAAGATTTCTTGGTGGATTTACTATATGCAAGAAATTATTTACAATTATTTTATAAATTATATTCCCACTGATATGAATTCAAGTTCCACTCTGGGTATATTAATCAATAAAAATCCCATGGTTCGTTCTTTTTTGCTCTAAAGAGGCCAAATACCAGGCCTTTGCTGTGATTTGTGGCCCACTCTTCCTGATGGCCCCACTGTGATCCGCAGAGTTCGCCAATTTCCGCTCCGCTTCAGCGAAGGCTGCTTCAGCCGCAGAATCATTAATTACTTTCGCAGCCACAGGCACCCCAAGTGAAAGAGCTGTCGCAACGGTGGCTAAAAATATCTCCCCTTGCGATGCAGCGGACGCACACATAAATCTGCCGCCTGATCGGTCTGCCCAACTCGAACGGCGGCAGGTAGGCCAGCCTGAGGTCAGGGGTCAGGGGTCAGGACGGACAAGGACTGGACGAGGTCCTGGTCCTGACGCCACCTCCCCGCGGCGACTGGTGAAACGCACAAGTCAATTTCAATTGCATTACCACTTGACGCGTCGCGACGAAAACAAATAAACAAACACGCACCCAAGGATACCGCAGCCGTGGGAAAAGCGAACGGAACGGAACGGAACGACCCGGCGGATTTGAGTTCTGTGCAAGATGCCAAGTGCCAAGATGCCAAATGCCAGATGAGATGGCCTGAGTTCGGGCGTCTTCTTCGGACGACGCCTCCGCATCGCTCTTCAGCTTCTGGCCGATCTCAGCTGCCTGCCGGCCCAATCTCTTGTCAGTCGTCGTCGAGCAGTCGTACCGCTCAGTCGTCCAGCGGATGTCGCACCAGATAGCAGAGAAAATCCCCAAGATACTTATTCGTAAAAGAGACCGAGTGATATAAATAGTGCGTTTAACTCCTTCTTCAACCGCGACACGTGCCGGGCACACTTCCCCCGAACTGCGTGAGTGCTCCCCTATATAATCCGACATCTATTTTTAAATGTATACTTCTGGCAAAGTGCATCTGCTAGACGCGAACTGCTTATACTGAATATTTTATGTCCCATTTTGGGAGCACTTCGCGCAATTTGCGCATCTCTAAACATTTTATGGCCCGTTTGCTGATGCAAAATAGAACAAAATATCGAAAGATGAGACAACATTTTTATAAATCTGACAAAAATATCCAGTCAACTGCTGCGATCTTTAAAATATTTTATATACCGTTTGGAAGCGAAAACCTAAATTACTAATAGATTTGAGTTAATTGACAGATATTTAAGGGTATTTTTCGAAGGTGTTGTGGTGTATCAAAACCCTCAAGTGAGCTAAAAATCTTTGTAAACTCTTTGTCACACAGTCTGTCACCAATTATGAGGTTTTCTTGTGATCATTGCAGTCTTTTTCTCTTTTCGCTGCTGTCGGCGATCCTTCAGCTGCCGCCGACACTTATAAATATGTTTGCTTATATTGGCGTGTTCAACGTATATATTATCGTACGTACATATATCCGCACATGTACTTTCATCTTCGTGATTCTATATTAATTTTCGCTTCGTCTGTGTCGCCCATTTCCGTTTGTTGTCGTCATTAGTTGATGTTGTTTGTGCCAATTTTTAGTAATAATATTATTTTGCTTATAGAAAATATGGCAATGTAATTGTTTCAACTGCTCTTTTGCACAGATATACTTTGCGAGATTCATGTGAAAATGGATAATAAGCCAATTATTGTTTTGGATTGTGACATACCTCTTAAGACTTGTGTTTTAACCTTGATCAATTTTCATGATATATTTCTAAAGACTAGAGGTTGGATTTGCTAATTAGAATTGGGGTTTTACATTTATATAAATGGCATTGCCTGAGAAAATGACTCATTACGTTCCAGTTCTTAATAAATGTACACCTAAGCATTGGGTTTAATTAATTTTTCCCTTAGTATATATATTAACTATTATAAAACACTAAGGACAAATCAGCGGTGCAATTGCATGCATGTGTTTTTCCGCACAGATGAAGCCCGAGCTGGTTTCTATATTTGGCATATAGCCGTTTGCCCTTTTATCATGAGTAAATGGACAGATTACCATTTCAAAGCTGAAAGGAAATGCAGTCATTTTGCATTATTTCCTGTGGATTTAAATGAATTTAAAACAGAGACCGGAAGATGTGCAAATATGGGCAGAACCAACAGGTGTTGGTGTAGAGTCAATTGCTATGAGCAGGCTATCTTGAATTTCGACTGCAGGTGTCCAGCTTAAAAGCTGGCACGTCAGACTCTTCGGGCGAGCGAAAAGACCTAGATAAATGCATTTGTTTCGCATCCGTGGCGCTGATTAGGTGATATTACATCGCAGGACGAAGGATGGCAGGATGGGGCCTAATGCACTACAAATTGAAAGAGGAAACGCAGCTCCGACTGAAACTGACGCACAAGCAAGCCCATCGGCCCCCTCGAAAACCCCCGGAAAAGCGGGTTTCGCCACTGCAGCGGCTGATGTAGCTAAATTCAATTTCCAGCAGTTTGCATTAATTTCCCGGCTTATGCCGACCGCCAGAGTGCGCCACTGTCACCGACAACCCCTCCCTCCCACCACCACTTTCACATTCAATCAAAAACAGCAACAGCTTTCGCCGCCTGAGAAAACGAGTGGATGCCGTGGAAATCCAGCGAGTCGGCGGGAAATTTCCTCGACTCAATCGCATCTGTAACTGCGAGCTCGGGTATCCTGCGGCTCGGTTTCAGCGCAGGATATTCGTTTAGCCGCCGACGCGAGATACCGATGCCAAGGATGCTGGCCGGGCACTGTCGAATTTCCCCTTTCACATTTCAGTCTTCGTTTGCCGAGCGTCGTGCGCGCAAGTATCCCACAGATACGCGGATAGACGGCCTCCAAGAAAAAACAACAAGAAAAACCAACAAGAAAATCCCTGAAGAAAAAACAATACAGTGCTATTAAAACAGTGCTTAGGAAAACGTTACAACTATATCAGCGGAAAAATAATACCGAATGCAAATGAAAAAGAAGAGGAAACGTGAAATGTGTAACTAAAAACTTGGTCATTTTCTTCTGAAACAAGCATTTTTCCTAGGCACTATACATAATTCACAGGCAGCAGCAGCTTTTCCATGTCTCAAGACCCCATAAAATGAGTGCGTTTTGCTAAAAGCAGTTACATATTCGAGCATATAACGAAAAAAAGTTGTTAAAAAGGCCCCATAATGGTGTGAAAAATAGTGCCAAATCTAATGAAAAATTTGTTGAGCTGTAGAAAAAATTTCGTTACTTCTAAGCCTGTTCGTGTGTGTGTGGTGTGTTTTTTGTGTAGTATCTTTTGTGCGCCTCGGCTTCTCTGTATCTGTGAGATACGCAAAACAATTTGTCTGCGCCATTAGTAGCGAAGAATATCCTATGTGTGTGTGTATCCTGCGCAGTCAACGAAACCGAAGCTGCGTCTCGCATCCTGGCAAATCCTGCCACCATCCAACTGCCAGGAGTCGGGGGCAGAGGGCAGCGCAATATTTGCGACGTTGACGCAGCCTCCACTCGCTCCTCCTAATGTTGTTGTTCTTCCTGTGTGTGTATCTGCAAAATACAGACCAAGGATACTGTCCATGTGCTGGTGCTCCTGGGTTGCTTCCTTTCGGGATTTACAAAATATTATTGTCGTTTCTTTTGATTAACCGTATTGGATAGTTCATTAATTACTGAAAAAACTTACACTTATTGATATACTGGAATCAGATAGGTGTTATATGTTTAATTTTAAAAAGTTTACTTCAAATAATTACTTTTAATGGCGTTTTTTGTAATTTCCCGACAGAAGTATATATTTTTCTAATTTAACATTGACTCCATTTAATAAAATAAGTAATTTTATATTCCTCTCCGGTTACTGGAATCAAATAAATAATTTATGTATTATTTAGTATTGGCTAAAGATATCTTAATGATTTTTTTCAAAATGTCGCTTTAGGAATACTATAACTAAATAAGTATCAGAAAATAAGGAGTCAATTGGTTTTAAATAAGTGGATCAATACCAAATATAAAGTTATTAACAATATTTAACTCGTATATTAAAAAAGAACAAACAGTTTTCAAAATAAACTTATTTTTATCATTTCCCATAAAACAAAATAAATTTTAAGTGCTTTTATTTTATACATTCAAATTGAAAACTTAAGCATACAATATCTACATTTCACAAGTTTTGTGCACTTTAATTTTTTGTAATTGTATAAATAGGACGTAAACGGATGTTTTATATAGGATGATATGTAAAATTCACTACGCTTTCATAAATCAAGCTTACCTATCTTCAACTTAAAGCAATTAAAGAGTCATTTTCATAAATTCGGAATTGATTGTCTTTCCAATCACGGTCCAAATATAAAATGCCCACAAAATAAAGTTTTTTGGTGGGACCCGCTGCTCATCGTAACCCTCGTAACTTCTGGCACTTGTCCGAGTCTTGAACTTTTGCCTCATCTCGAGTTCGCTTCCTGCTCCTCGATTTCAGTTCAAATGGGGGAGAGGGCATTTTGCATGCATGTGTAGTTTCAGCTAGTTGGCTTACCGCTTTCCCAGCTCGGCGCTTTTCCCGCTTCACCGTTACTCGCAGGACTTTCAGCTTCAGTTGCGTTTCCGTTTTCTGCACTCGCTGCAATTTTCCAGCAAGACAGGGGTGTGGAGTGGAAACTCTCTCGTTCTCGCTGCTTTTCCCAATTTCGCTTTTCTTTTCCTTTTTTACGAGGCGTGTTTTGGCACTCTTTGTGTGTGTGAGTATTTACAATTCCGCTTTGTTGTTGTTTTCGCCATTTTGTATAGCATACTTTGCGTACTATGAAGTTACACACACACATACTTAGGAACTTTCTTTTTTTTTCTGGAAAATTTCCCGACTTTTTCGCTATCCCAACATGGAATATATTTTTTTTTGTTGGGGTCCTCGCTTGGCCAAAATAATAGAAAATGTGAAAAAGCGAAATGCGAGCAGCAAAAATAACATAATTTTCTGACCCCACTCTATCACTCTTTCTTTCACTATTGCTCTCTCTCTCTCTCTCTCTTTCACTTGTCTATTTGTAAGTCTAGTATCCACAAAAAAAGATAGGACAAATGTTAGCTGCAAAATCAAATAAAATATATACGAGCGAAACAAATCAAGAAAAGAACATGCGAGGAAAATACCAGTATCTTGTTGAGTGTGTTTGTGTGTGGTAAAGCCAAAGCCAAATGCTAAAAGTGAAATTGTACGACGCCCCTTTGGCAGAGGAAAATGCCTGTGTCTACACATACAATTGATTCGCTCAAAAAGCCAAATAATTATAAAGAAATCCATTTGGACATGTGAAATACGAAATCAGGCCACTGGCAAGTTTTTCAAATCACAGAATCTAAATTATAATTTCTAATTGGAATATATGTATGTTTTATGGAAATTACTTGGCATTCAATAACGAAAAGCACAAACATATATTAGAATTGCAAATATTATTGAAAACATGATTTGTTTGAAATTTTCTTAGAATTTGGTCAAGTAACCATGTTTCTTCTATCTTCAAAAATAGTCTTAGATAATTAAGAAAAGCGGTGAAAAAACTGAAACAACATGATAATATTGTCAATATTATTCAAAAGTTAAAATAACCCTTGCATGGTTAAATATTTTTGCTGTCTGTCTGCAAAAATTTAAAATTGTAAGGAATGGCAGCAAAATTTAACCGAATTAAGCAACGTAAGTCAAGAAGCGCAATCAATACTTGCATCTTCAGCAACGGCATGCATCTTCATGCGATTTCGCAAGGTAATCGGAAGGTCTGCCATCGATTGGTTTTTTAACCAGGAGGAAAACTCGTATTACCCCGAAAACACGTTCTCTAATAAAGGCTGCCTTATTGCAATTTCGAACCTTGGGCTTCACTATGTCAATTGTTCGCCTGTGCGCCGGCAGCACTTTTATTGGTTTGGTGGCAGGACGAGGGGAGCGGTTTTTAGTCCTTTGAAACAGGACGCATGTGGCTGTGTGGGCTGGCCAAATCCTAAATCTCTGCATTATGAAATGTCATTACGTGGGCCGTATTATCTCTTTTCAAAAGTCAAACGTCAAAAGTGAATGGCGCTGATTAACTATTACTTTTCGGTTAACTAATTTTCCTAATTATTTTCTTAACAGAATCAAACGGAGGTGCCCCATAATTAGGTAAAAGAGCACACTCACCTCTGGGTGAAAGCTATAGCAATGAGCTGTCTGCACTTGAAGAACTTTAAACGGGCCAAGTGGTCGCAACCTTTGCCAAAGAGTTAAGCATCTAACTATCATACCATAACTACAAGCACTTTTCGGAGCCCTTCCAAGGCAGAACTCTGCAAGTGAAATCTATTGAGAGCTGGTCTAAAACAGGAGCCCCAAGAATGCCACCGCTCAGGCAGGCGGTAGTGGTGCTGTCGGTGGTGCTGGCCCTGGCCCTCCTGCTGGTGGATCCCTCGCTCGCCCAGCGACCTTTGATCATGAACCACACCTTCAGCTCGCTGCCGATGTCCCAGCACCCCAGCTTCAACAGTTGGCCAGGAGCGACCGGGGGCAAGCAGTTGCGCAACGGCAGGCTGCACGAGCAGCCGCTGCCACTGCCGCAACCCACTTTGCCGGTGGCCACTCAGTACGAGGACTACGAGGGGGCCAACCCCGGATTACGAAGAGACAACAAGCGGCGCCTGGCTCAGATGGCCCAGATGGCTCAACGACCAGGGAGCGGGAATGCCGGACGACGCGGCATTGAATCCCTGCGCAAGGAGCTAATGAATCCCTCGGTGGGCGGCCCCGGCGGAGGAATCTCCGGCGGCAGTGCCGGGTATCCTTCGTACTCCGGCACCTCCTCCATCGGACGCATCGACGGACTGGGCCAGGGCATGGGATCCGCGGATCGTTATGGCGAACAGCTGCGGCAGCCCAGCGGAATGGCCGCCATGACAGCTGGTCCTCTGGGAGGACCCTACTCCACGAGGTTCCCCCTCTGTATGCCGGCGTGGATGAGCAGCCCAAGCGCTCCAATCAGCGCAAGAGCCCCATTAGCGAGCTGTACAAACTGAAGAAGGCCCTGAATCAAGCCGATGAGCCCGCCGGCGGAGTGACTCACGGCAACTTTGAGGGCGATCCACAGCCCTCCTCGGCGGATCCGCTGCAGGAGATCAAGGACCGCATCCGAGATACATCCCCAAATGCGGTGAGTACATTTTACACAGAAAAGATACAAGTTTGCTTTAGACTTATTTGAATTATTTGAAACTGGGATTCAAATTATCTCAAAACATAAATATTTGATAGACCCTTAATAATATCAGTATTGTTTAAATCATAAATATTTGTGATCTTTAAAGAATATTGCAATACACATTTAATAGTCACTAATTTAAACACAAGCATAAACTAAGAAGGAAAAAGCGTCTTCATATCTTTTGACAAAAGTCTGAAAATGCAAATATTAGCTATGGTTTATATTTTGTTATTATTAATTAAAAAATTCCACCTCTTCACACCCATAGAACACATATGCCCCGCACACGGACGCCACGCCCTCGTCGGAATACGAGTATGAGCTGGGCGTGAAGTGCAACTTCGAGACCCCTTGCAGCTGGACTTGGGTGAACTACACGGACGGCTTCCAGGTGATCAGTGGCACGGAGCTGGCCAAGTGGAACCTCACTGGACTGCTGCCAGGACCGGCGGCGGATAGTATCGACGACGCCAACGGACACTTCCTGTACGCCCGCGTGCACCCAAACTCGCGGCCCCTGAACCTCACCTCGCCGGAGTTCAGCACCACGATGGAGAAGTGCTTCCTGGAGGTGTACATGCACCAGAGCGACATGAGCCACGGACTGTCGCGGGTGGTGGTGGAGCCCCTTCACACGGCGGAGAGCAGCTGGGTGCCCGCTGAGATCCTGGGCGACAATGTGCGCCAGTGGACCAGGAAGGTGTACCGCCTGGGACGCGTCTCCCGCGACTTCCGCATCGTCTTCGAGGTGGTTCCCGATCTGCGAGTGGGCCAGAAGGGTCACGTGGCGCTGGACAACCTGCGGATGGTGAACTGCTTCCCCGAGGGCACGAAGTCGGAGAAGTGCAGCACCTCGCAGGTCAAGTGCACCGCCAACAGGGTGCCGGTGTGCATCCACCTGCCGCGGATCTGCGACATCACCAGGGACTGCGACGAGGCGGAGGACGAGCAGCAGTCGTGTGGTGAGTAGAAGCAATCCGAATCGTCAGTGCCAAGATGGGTCCCTAATTTAAACCTCCTCCCCTCTTAGATAAAATTCCTTACGGCGGACGCTGCGACTTCGAGGAGGACTGGTGTGGTTGGCGCGACTCCGGGAAGACCACGCTCACCTGGTCGCGCCACACGGGCTCCTCGCCCACCCACGACACCGGCCCGGATGGCGACCACACCATGCAGCACCTGCAGAACAACACCAGCGGGTACTACATGCTGGTCAACATGAACCAGCACATGAACAACACGGAGAAGAACTCGATCATCGGATTCGCCAGCAATGCGATCATGGTCAGCAAGACCTTCAATCCGCCGCCGTCGGTCCATGGAAATCCGGACTCTGCCTATCGCAACTCCTGCGTGGTGAGGTTCTTCATCCACCAGTTCGGCAAGAACCCGGGCAGCATCAATCTGTCCGTGGTGGAGATGAAGGAGAAGGAGAACATCACCACCACGCTGTGGTGGAGCACCAAGAACCAGGGCAGCGATTGGCTGAGGGCGGAATATGTACTGCCCAACATAACGTCCAAGTGGGTTTTCTAGTTGAGATCGGTGTCAAGAGAGGTACTAACTTTGCAACTCCCCCAGATACTATCTGCAATTCGAGGCTCGCATGGGCATGAGAATCTACTCGGATGTGGCCGTGGATGACTTCTCACTAAGTCCAGAGTGCTTTGGCCTCAATATACCGGAGGATCACCTGGGTGGCTACAACTACTGGGATGTCCGACAGAACCTGAAGAGTCCTACCTACAAGGACTTTGAATATACCAACTGTAAGTGAGGACTTTCTAAATTATCATACCCCATATTAACCCACTATGTTGCACCATTCTCTCCAGATCTTGAGCTTACCAGCTGCGACACCCGTGGCATGATAGGACCCTCGCAGTCGCAATGTGAAGCTTCCTACAGGGAGCAGAATAAGTCGCATGTGCTTCGGGAAGTCCATGTGGTGGAGGACCAGAGCAGCTACAAGGGCATGCAGAAGTGGAAGGTTCCCCACGAGGGTCACTACACGTGAGTTCTGAATGATCCTCCCAATTGGGGTATTTTCATACTAACGTATTGACTCCTAATCCACACCAGAATCATTGCGAAGGGCGCCAGTGGAGGATTGGGATCGGGCGGAGTGGGCAGCTCTCGGGGATCGGTGGCGGTGGCCGTGCTGGAGCTCCACAAGCACGAGGAACTGTACTTCCTGGTGGGTCAGCAGGGCGAGAATGCCTGCATCAAGTCCATGGGAGTGCTCAAAGAAGCCGGCTGCGGCACGGATCACGACCTGGATCTGGCTCAGTATAGCTTCCGTTCCAAGCAGGATATGGTGAAGAATATCTACATTGAAAATGGCGCCGGCGGCGGAGGCGGTGGCTCCTACGTGTTCCTCCTTAACCAGGCCAAAAACGAGGCAGTGCCTCTGTTAGTGGCTGGCGGCGGAGGCGGTCTGGGAATAGGCCAGTACATAGACGAGGACTTCCAGCACGGCCAGAAGTGGAAGCCCCTGCTGGCGCCAGAGAGTGGCCAGATCAACGGGGAGCCCCTGAACAAGAAGACCGCTGGACCAGGAGGCGGCTGGCGGGCCAAGGAGGACCAGGCCCTGAGTCCCACCAACGGAGCTGCGCTGCTCCAGGGCGGCCGCGGTGGTCACTCCTGCTACGTGGAGCTGGCAGACAACGGCACCTCCGTGCACAGACATGGCCAGGGTGGATTTGGCGGCGGAGGCGGGGGCTGCAACACCGGAGGAGGAGGCGGTGGCTACGCCGGCGGGGATGTCTACCTAACCGAGTCCAATGGCGAGGGAGGCAGCTCGTACATCAGCATGAGCCGCAGCCTCCGGGAAACAATCGACGTGCACGCGGGTGCCAGCAGTGGACCAGGCGCCATCATCATCATCCCGGCGATTGAGGGCTGCGGCTGCGACTACAGGTGCGTCGCCCTGGACGAGTTTCGGTCCAAGGTGCGGTGCATCTGCCCCGATGGCTGGAGTCTCAAGAGGGACAACCACACCGCCTGCGAGATTCGCGAGGAGGCGGGCCAGTCGTCCTTCCAGTACCTCGTCTCCATCCTGATGATCTCGCTGGCCGTGCTCTTCATCTGCATTGCAGCACTCATCTTTATGCTCTGTAAGTAGACTGGAAGTTCCTTTTATATGAAATGGATCCTTATAAAACATTATAAAAATACAGGAAAATACAAATTACACAGTTTTGAAAGGCTTACAAATGATATTTACCAAAGCTCATCCTATTTAGAATTGTGGGGCTACTTAATATTTTAAAGGGATTTTAGTTATACACACTATAGGTTTATTTAAATCTTGAAAAGTAGCTTAACATTTAATATATAATTTGTGTTTATGCTCATTGCTGATTTGATTTATTTATTTCTGCCGCAGACAATCGCTATCAACGTAAGAAGCAGTCGAAAAAGCGCCACAAGATGCTCGTGGAGCAGGATCTCCAACTCACACGGTTGCGCAACAACATCGACGACTCCAACCTGAACAACTTCAATCCCAACTACGGATGCGATGGCATCCTCAATGGCCACATCGACGTCAACAGCTTGCCCCAAGTGGCTCGCGATAGCCTCCAGTTGGTTAAGTGAGTCACTGAGTCCAGTTACCTACCCAAATGTTGCAACTAACATTTTAATTGTTCACATTTTCAGTGCCCTGGGCAAAGGTGCTTTTGGTGAGGTCTACATGGCACTTTATCGCCACCGAGACGGGGATGCCGTGGAGATGGGCGTGGCAGTGAAAACCCTGCGCGAAGATCCCAAGCGGGAAAAGGAGGAGGATTTCCTGAAGGAGGCTGCCATAATGGCCAAGTTCAATCACCCGAACATGGTGCACTTAATAGGCGTCTGCTTCGATCGCCAGCCGTATTACATAGTCCTGGAACTGCTCGCCGGCGGGGATCTGCAGAAGTTCCTGAGGGAGAACAGGAACACCCCGGAACGTCCCTCCCTGTTGACCATGAAGGATCTGCTCTTCTGCGCCCTGGACGTGGCCAAGGGGTGTCGCTACATGGAGAGCAAGCGGTTCATCCATCGGGACATCGCCGCCAGGAACTGTCTGCTGAGCAGCAAGGGTCCCGGTCGAGTGGTGAAGATCGCCGACTTCGGCATGTCCCGGGACATCTATAGATCGGACTACTACCGAAAGGGAGGCAAGGCCATGTTGCCCATCAAATGGATGCCGCCGGAGGCCTTCCTCGACGGCATATTTACCTCCAAGACGGACGTGTGGTCCTTCGGCATCCTCCTGTGGGAGGTCTTCAGTCTGGGCCGCTCACCATATCCCGGTCAGCACAACACCCAGGTGATGGAGCTGGTGGTGCGCGGCGGTCGCCTGGGCTCGCCCACCGAGTGCCCCGTCTCCATATACAAGGTGATGGCCGACTGCTGGAACCCCACGCCCGAGGATCGGCCCACCTTCATCAGTTTGCTGGAGCACCTGACCGCCTGCACACAGGACGCGAGCATAATGAATGCCCCGCTGCCCAATATCCTGGGACCCACGGCCTCCGAGCGGGACGACACCGTCATCCGGCCGCCCAACGGCGAGGAGTTCTGTCTGGCAGTGCCGGACTACCTGGTGCCGCTGCCCCCCGGTGGCAGTGGTAATCCCTCGCTGGCCAGCAGCTCGGGCTACCTTCCGGAGTCGCAGCGCCAGCAGATGAGCTCCTGCACCCCGCCGGCGGTGACCTCCCCCGCCGCTCCACATCCGCGGCCGGTGGAGAGTGTCGCCCCCGCCAACGGAGATTGCTGGGAGACGTCCTTCATTCTACCGAAGGCCAAGGCCAAGGCGGAACCGCCAGTGGCCGGCAGCATCCACGAGGGCCTCCGGCCGTCGGGGAGGAGGCCAAGCTGATCAGCCTGGACACCCCGCAGCCCACGCCGACCACCATCCAGCCGCCGCTGTCCTTCGCCTCCCAGCTGGACGGGATCACGCTGGATCCATCGGCGCTGACCAAGGGCTTGCCCAACGGCAGTGCCAAGCAGTCGTACGCCAACGTGCAGGTGAAGAACGAGGCGGAGGGCAAGGTCGTCAACGGGGTGGTGGCCAACGGGGCGGCAGTGATGAACGGGGACGTCTCGACGGGATCATCAGGTGGTGCCGATTCACCGTTCACCATTCAGGGATATGCGGAGCGGTACAAGGACAACAACAATCATTCCGAAATCAGTTGTTAAGAAAAACATCGTATGCTCCAGTCAGGACTACACTTTCAAAAGCAAGAATTCGGGTATCCACGTTCATTGGATCATTTTAAATCAAGCGGGAAGCGTGAACATTTTCGGCAGCTTTGTGGAGATTTATAAAATCTTTAAGCGAATAGGATTGGTCGAGGATCTGCTAATGAACGGTCAATATCTCTGGACCTTTGAATTATACCCCTGAATTTAGGCAGCATCTCCCACGCTCACTGTGAACTCTGAATCGCCCATGAGTTCTCCTTGTTTTGGGGCAATCACAATTTGCTTGCGCCTCACCAGCGCATTAAATATATTTATTCTCGATCTATAATGAGAAAAAAAACCAAAAATTGGGATAGCAAAAACCGAGTGAGAACTTCACAAAAACATTTTATTGTAATCTTAAATTTGTATTGCGTAAAAACAAAAAACCAAAGTCGGATAACAAAAAAATGAAAGTAACACATAAATTTAGTTGAAACAAATAGTTTAGTTTTTTACCAGATATTAGTTTTGCGAAAAAAAAGCAGAGTAAAAACTAAAACCAAATTGTGCGAGAGGTTGTATATATTAATTGTATCTAAGTTTTACAATTGCCCTTAATTTAATTTTACTATTTTGTTTATCTCTTTAGTTTCATAAGCTGATGACTGAAATGCCAAACAATATTCCTAAAGTAAAAAAAGAAAAGAGAAAATCGTTAGCTTATTTTTAATAGCAGTCCAGAACCGGGAACCAAGATGTCAACTCAAAGTAGTTCAAAGTCTCAACACAGCTCTTTAAAGTTCGCAATAATACCACAAATGTAGTCAGACAGATATGCCACATATGTTTTAAAATAGGATATATTTTACTTTAGGATTCTCAATTCTTGTATGGTTTACTCCGAGAAAAATAAAATAGAGTGTAAATAACAAGCTTCCGTCGTAGCGAATTACGTATATTATATGTATTTGAGTAGTCTTAAGGAAATAAAAAAACAGTAGCATGTAAAGCGATAGAAGAAAAACTACAATTTACAGGGTGATTTTTATGAAAATTCAGTTGTATGTTTGAAAAACAAAAATTAGCATTAACGAAACCAAGATGACGCAACGACTTTCAGCTCGATTTGAGTTGCTAAAAATGTTGTAAAATATTCTTTCAGCACAGCCCTGTATTTGTTCATAATCATTAATGCTCTTTTTTTAGGTGTTGATTGGAATTCGAAATTTTGTACATTTAGTTGGAACGTAACAAACAAGCTTTAAATTATATAATTTTTATAAAGATATATTAACGATATACAAGTGAGGCGAGAACATAATATTTAACCAAGCAGAAAAAAAAAAAATTATACAAGAACGGGGCTCCCGAGAGCCAAATTTGATTTACTATATATTGAGGTATAATTAGACCTAAGAAAATTGAGTGTGTGTTTAAAACAACAAATCGAATTAACAAAATATATGCGTACTTAGATAATGATACCGAAACATACATATATAGGAAGGATAATGTTATGTCTGTTTTGCTTTATGTACAAGTCTACGGTTATATGCGCATACATCTATATACACGCAAACATATTATCGTATATAAACATATGTATAATCAACCTATATATCCAATATGTATGTCCGACTAAGCGAACCGTAAATTAAAATGCTGAATACGCGGAAACCAAAAATCAAGTAAATTACATTATTAATTAATATAGTTCTTACCCGCATATTCAGTCGAGCTCTCGTTTTTCCTTTTCAAGTCTCACCCATGATTTGTATTTGAAAACGTATTTTTTAAATTTTTTTGTTCCACTATAAAGGCAATTTAAATACATCCGCAGTATGGTTTCGCTGAACTCAGTAATCGATTGTAAAGATAAATTTAGTTTTGAAATATGATTGATACCCGGGATTGTTGTCATAAAATTAAATTATACAGTATCTTTAACAACCAAAATAATCACAAAAAGTAAGAAACGAGAGAACGGCTGACAATACGCCATACATCATATTTTTCATCCGACTTGTCACTCAAAATACCGGAACCCAAACACAAAATGTACAAAATAAAATTGAGAGAAAATAGAAATAGATAAAAATCTAACAACGTATGCTCTAAACCGAATGCTCAATAAGTATAAATCTCCGCATCCACGGCTTACACTTAGTCTTAACACTTAATCGAGTCAACTTGAGTTAACTTGACAGTATTTTTTTTGTTGTAAGTGTATCTATAATGGTTGTGCCGAGGCATCTTCAGTAAGCGAAATATACTTACTCAAATGCATTACACACATCTCCAGGAGATCCTTTCCGAATACATGCATATGTATAAAAACACAGACACCTGCGAACAGGATTCCCACACATTTTTGTACCCTGATGACATTACCTTGTGTACCTAAAGCCCACAACCTGAAGAGAAGAGTTAAAGATGCATATATCCGCAAATCGTTGTTGATTAATTGTTGGCACTGGTTCAGTTCGAGATTTTGGGGCAGATCGCTTCGTGGTTGCTGTTTTACGGTTCCGTAGTTCAACAACAGTTCAAGATGTTTTAATTAAATTCATTTGAAATGAAGATAATGTTTGAATACGAATTGAACATCATTCGATTGGTCTTTAAAGTATAAGCTAGTTGAATTTTTTGGCACTTGGCTTGCCGATTGGGAACTGAAGGTTTTGAAGCTTAGAACCAGGTCAAGGCATTTACTCCCGACGAGATAAATCATTTTTGGCGGCATAGACGATTTTGATTGGAATATCAGTAGCTTTGTATACACTTCATTTCTCAACAATAAAAATTCGCAACGAAGTTTAGAAAAATAAACATAAATTATATATATTTAAAGACAAATTTAAGAAATGAGATAAGTATTAAGATCACACAATAAATGGTATTTTTATATACTACAAAAACCCCGCAAAAAAAGAGAAAAACCATATGACAAAAAAATTGAATGCAAGTTTAGTGCATGCGAACAGGCTTAAACTTAGCTCTAGCTATAAAATATTAATAAAATAAAAACAAAATTAATGGTTTTCATTTAAAATCGTAAATTATTTTGTTACATTTAAAGAGTAAAGGCAAAAAAATAATAAACAAGAAACAGAAACGCAAAGACTAGAACCACATTTTGTAAGCTGGATCGATTGAGTGATGGATTGGTGGCAAGTAATATAAAATACAGCATAAGCAAGCCGAACAGCAGCAAAAAGTCCATTTAGAGAAGCTACAACACTCGAAAGTAAAACGAACCTATTGTCATAACTTGCTGAAATATAATGGCTGGCGCAGAACGCGAACCGGAACTTGAGAATTCCACTCACATAGTATAATTTTCGACTCGGTCTAAGCTATAGAGTAATACCAGCTAAGAAACGTATAATTGACACGTACCCATGCTCGTACTTCCCCTCACACTCCGCTCTCCCATTCTCAACTTCGGATTTCCACATTTTCTTTGCTTTTCCTCCCCTGTGAGTCGCGAGGACGAGTTTTGAATTATCTAAGCATAAGCACATCTCACAAAGCAAAACCGAAAAAGTATAAATATATCTTAATGGCATATATATTTGGCGCTATGGAGTGGAGAGCAATTTTAAAGTTGGTAGCGTGTAAGCGCTGGAAATGCGAAATGACAAAAGCCGAGAAACTGAGAAAAATAATAAAAGTGAAAATTCATGTGTACAAAACCAAGATGAAATGTGTTTTTATTTGGGTCAAGCATTCCTCTGCCATTAAAACGATTTTCCAAACATTTTCTTTGTAATTTTTATACCCTTGCAGAGGGTATTATAATTTTGGTCAAAAGTGTGCAACGCAGTGAAGGAGACATCTCCGACCCTATAAAGTATATATATTCTTGATCAGGATCACCTCCTGAGTTGATATAGCCATGTCCGTCTGTCCGTCTGTCCGTCTGTCCGTCTGTCCGTCTGTCCGTCTGTCCGTCTGTCCGTCTGTCTGTCCGTCTGTCTGTTTCTACGCGAACTAGTCTCTCAGTTTTAAAGATATCGAATTGAAACTTTGCACACACCCTTCTTTCCTTTGCACGCAGTATATAAGTCGGAACGGCCGGGATCGGCCGACTATATCCTATAGCTGCCATATAACTGAACGATCGGAAATGCCATAACTTTGGTGTTTGTAAAGTTAGGAAGTTGGGATTTTCTATGGGTTTTGTATTTGGCTAATCAATCCGACATGCCGAATTTCATAAGGATCGGCCGACTATATCCTATAGCTGCCATATAACTGATTGATCGGAAATGCCATAACTTTGGTGTTTGTAAAGTTAGAATGTTGGGATTTTCTATGGGTTTTATATTTGGCTAATCAATCCGACATGCCGAATTTCATAAGGATCGGCCGACTATATCCTATAGCTGCCATATAACTGATTGATCGGAAATGCCATAACTTTGGTGTTTGTAAAGTTAGGAAGTTGGCATTTTCTATGGGTGTTATATTTGGCCAGCCAATCCGACCTACCAAATTTCATAAGGATCGGCCGACTATATCCTATAGCTGCCATATAACTGAACGATTGGAAATGTCATAACTTTGGTGTTTTTAAAGTTAATAAGTTGGGATTTTTTATGAGTATTAAGAATGCATCATATGAATAATTTTGGAGAATATAATTTACAGAGTATTCTGCAAGGGTATATCAACTTCGGCTCCGCCCGAGTTAGCTTTCCTTTCTTGTTTTTATTGAGTTCTTTTTTAGGTTGGATTATTTTCCTGTTTTTCTTCAATTATTTTCATTCATCTCTTTACTAAAGTCAATTTCTTGCCATGGCCAAAAAGAACTAAGACTTTGTATAGCTTACAATTGGTTTGTTAAGTGTTAGTTTCTCGCCCCTGTCACGAACTATTATTATTGGATAGTTTTTTATTTTTTCTAAAAGCTAATTGAACGTTTTTATTTAGAAAAATAAAAATAAGAACGCGTTGGTATATTTGTATTATTATTTTGGAAGTGTATTTTATTGATGCACTGCAATTTACAAATCGATTTAGAAATAAAACATAATAAATTCTAGGCATAACATAAGATATTTAATAATTGCACGAAAACGAACCCGAGAACGAACTATATCCTGGCCGTAACCCGGCCAATATTACCTGGCCCATATCGATCAAACGAGACGGGAAGCAAAAGTCCAAAGTGGAGGAAGAATTGGTTAATGACCCGATTTCCTACTGACTGGATGGAATGTTCTTACTATATGTGTCTTGGTTTCTGTGTGTGTGTGTGTTTGCTTGTATCGGCTTTGTGTTTAATTTATCGCATTAAATATAAATTTCATAATCATGATTCTCTAATTGCGTTTGTCTCAAAAAACTTCATTCATAGTTTGTTATTTTTTGGAAACTCTTTTTCTGGCTACGCTTAGATTTAGTTTTTAGGCTGCAAATGCTAAGAAATTATGTTTCTGATGTTTATATATAAATATAATTTTTGTTTTCATTAATTTATTATCATTATGATTTTTTTGTAGTTTTTTGCTTGTGTTTTCGCTTTTCTCATATACATATACATAAATTGAATTTTGTATATCTGAATTTTGTCTCCTGTCGTATATAATTCCGCTCCTTCTGCTTTGTTTTTATATAAATTGAAAACTTAATTGTAAATGTAAAAATGTTAAAACTACATTCAATTATAAATAATGTTGGTTTTTGTTGTCGTATTATTTATATGCAATGTTCGCTCATTACGTAATAATATTTATAATTAATATTAATTAATTAGCATAGTTCACGTACTTTTATGTAATTTTTAAAGCAATAACAAGCCATTTTGTAATTTCATTTATTCTCTTTTCTAATCATTGCTGAATTAATCGCTTTTGTTTGTCTTTTCAAATTTCCTTTTGTATAGTTTTGGATGTACTAATTCATGCAAATTGCTTCGTTATCGATGAATCCGCCCATAAATTCTCTCGATCCCCCATCTCTTTATGCAAAAAGGTGGAATTCACTGCTACTCTGGGTTTCTCC